CCGGGGAGGCGCCGCGGGGAGCAGGCCTGTCGCCCTGCTGGCAGTGGGAGGGTCTTGGGGCAGCTCCAGAACAGGTGGCCGCGCGCGCGACTCCCAGCTTGGGAGTTCACGGGAGGGGACTTTCTGGAGCCACACGCGGGCAGGGAGGGGGCTGCCTGGTGCCTGGAAACAGTTTCCTCCCCACCCAGGAGCCGCCCCGAGTCCGCTGCCCTCCCCAAGACCCGGGGACTCAAATGTGCGCCCTCCCCATGGGCCCGGCAGGGGGTCCTCGCCTGTGGAACCCGAAGGTGGGGGTCCCCCCCGCCTGACTGTGAGGTCTGAGTGGTGCTGCGCTGGGAAGTGCCCGAGGAGCAGATGCTCTGCGGGTCGGGATGGCAGTGCCAGGAGGCCTGTGGGCACTCTGCTCCCAGCACCCGGAGATCCGCCTCCATCTCCAGCTGGGATAGGGCTGTGACTTCTAGCCCCAGACGCCTATTGAGAGCTCCCTGAGAGGACCTGCAGGGCTGGGCAGGCCAGGGCTGGGCCATAGGGGTCTCAGGGAGCCAGGTGCCCACTGACTGACCCACATTGCCCTGAGGTGGGGTGGGCATGGGCAGGGGCATTGAAGATTGAGAAGGAGATGGGGTGATGTGGGGCTATTCCCACTGGACTGGAGTCCCTCTGGCAGATCCAGCTGGTCCTTCCCCATGCTGCCCAATTTCTCCAGAGCACAGGCCTGTGGGTCAGACCACCTGGAGCACCTGGTGCAGGCAGGGCACATTTTGGGGCGGGAGACCTGAGGGCCCCGGGAGGGGAGGGACCAGAATGCTGAAAGGCCAAGACCGGAAGTCCTTGTAGGGCGAAGCCGGCCCACTAGGGAGTTGAGTCTGGACCAGGAAAGAGTTAGAGGGGCCAGGGCTACTGCAGGAGGGGGGCTTAGGGAGATGGGACCCCCAGGCACTCTGGCGTGGCTTTCCAGAGGTGGGGAGCCCAGGCAAGTTGGCCCAGTGGGGGTACAAGATGATGAGGGGAGGGGTTATGACTGGAAGTTTTGTTTAAGACTCATTCACAGCACAGTGGGGTGGGTGGACTGCCCTTCAGCTCCATTTCAGACTGTTTGAGATGACCCTGTAGGCAGGCAGCTGGGCACAGGTGTTCCCCAGGCCAGGAGTCCTAGCCTCAGGGGCCAGCTGTAGTGGGAGAGGCATGTGTCCACACACGCTGCCTGGGTCTCGGTTCTCTGGATCTCAGAAGGGGTACCCACTGGCTGTGCCCCCAGAGGGACTCATTGGGGGCCGCCCACCGGATGGCCTTTCTCCCCTAGGTCTTCGCCTTGATCGTGTTCTCCTGCATCTTCGGCGAGGGCTACAGCAACACCCCCGAGACCCCCCAGCTGTACTGTGTGTTCAATCACAACGAGGACGCCTGCCGCTACGGCTGCGCCGTCGGTGTGCTGGCCTTCCTGGCCTCCGCCTTCTTCTTCGTGGTTGACGTCTATTTTCCCCAGATCAGCAGCGCCACTGACCGCAAGTACCTGGTCATTGGCGACCTGCTCTTCTCAGGTATCCGTCTGTAGGAGTGAGAGGCCGTGGTCCTAGGGCTCTAGGATTAAGGGACTTGGGAGGACTGGGCACAGTGGCATCTGCCTGGAATCCCAGCGACTAGGGGATGAGGCAGGGTGGCAAGTTTGAGGCCATAAGCTTCAATTTAGTAAGATCTTATCTCAAAATAAAAGGACTGGAGACAGCTCAGTGGTAGAGCACCCCGGGGTTCAATCCCCAGCACCAGAGAGAGATACTGGGGAGGGAAAGAGTATCTCAGGGCACCTAACCCCCCCTGTGTCCTGTGACCCCTGACCTGCACAGAAGGCTTCCAGACTGTCTGCTGAATCCTGTGGGTGGTGGGTACAAGGCGGGACTCGGGCACCAGCCCTCGTCCCCTTAGCCCTGCCCCAGCTCCTGGCTCACAGGCCGTGAAGCTTGGGGAGATTCCTGCCTCGGCCTCCCCCTCCCCAGCACTCTGGAAAGCCCCTGCCACTCCCTGGAGCTCACCCTCCGTCCTCTCCCTAGCTCTCTGGACCTTCCTGTGGTTTGTTGGTTTCTGCTTCCTGACCAACCAGTGGGCAGCCACCAAGCTGGAGGATGTGTTGGTGGGGGCGGACTCGGCTCGGGCAGCCATCACCTTCAGCTTCTTCTCCATCTTCTCCTGGGTAGGTAGCTGGGCAGCGGGCGGGTCTGGGTCCTCAGTGAAGACTGAGGGGGATCGGGGCCCCCTGTCCTGCCTAAACCTCAGGTCTCCCTGCAGGGCGCACTGGCTTCCCTGGCCTACCAGCGCTACAAGGCCGGAGTGGACGCCTTCATCCAGAACTATGTGGACCCCACCCCAGACCCCAACACGGCCTATGCCTCCTACCCCAGCGCATCAGTGGATAACTACCAGCAGCCTCCCTTCACTCAGAGTGCGGAGACCACTGAGGGCTACCAGCCGCCGGCCGTGTACTGAGTGGCCACAGGGAGGGTGCCCGGGGCCTCCCCCTGCCCTGGACTTTTCCTCCGGGCTGTAGTTCCTCTGGCCCACACCCGCTGCCGCTGTCCGGGCCTTCCCACGCCTGCCTGTGCTGGCAGAGCACACCCAAGTGCCTGTGCCCAAGGGCTTTGCAGCCACGCACCCCATGGGTATTTTTTAGGACAGGGTTTTTAGTTAGATGTTTTCTCATTGCTTATTTTTTTGGGGGCGATGCTGGGGCTTGAACCCAGGGCCTTGCTCTTGCTAGGCAAGTGCCCGACCACTGAGCTATACCCCAGCCCTCAATGCTTTTAATGACTTGCTAACCCTGCTGAAGTCGCCAGAAGCAGGAAGGTGTGGATGATGGGCCCTGTTGATAAGGGCCCAGCATCCCCCCATCCTGAAGGAGCCCAGCCCAGCCCAGGGCTGTAGGAGCCAGTGATTTGGGTTTTCTGCCAAAGACGGGTTGGGAGTCCTTTTGTCTGTTTGGTGCTGGCTCAGGCTCCCTGCCTCCTCACTCAGGTCTGCCACTCTGGTCCCTTGCCTGGCCTCAGGCTGGGCCAAGCTCACTGCTGGACCCTCAGGGTCACCACTGTGCCAACCCCTGGGCTGGCTCCCTCCCTGACAGCCGTGGGGTGGGGCTGCTGCCACCCAGGCATGACTGGCAGCACTTCCTGCTGGCCCTACCAGGGCAGCAGGGAGGGACTTTGCCTGATAACACCCAGCTTTATGTAAATATCCTGCAACTTCGGTTTAAGAATAGGGGGAGGGCAGGGGCACCCCACAATATTCGAATGTACTAAAAAAGCCTTGGGAGAAGATGCCCTTGCCCTGAGGTTGAGTCTGGATTGGAGATGGAATAAATATTTTTCTTTCAGTTTCTACCGTCCTTGGTTGGATCTCGGCCTGGGGGAGAATCCCACCTGCCCTGGGGGCCTGGCATTTTGAGTGAGGCCTGGCAGTGACTCCTGCATGCCTAGTGACACACCCCCTCCGCACACTGCCTCCCCAGCACCCAAAATAGCACCTGTGCTCAGCTTGTAAACAAGACAGGTTTTTCTGGACTGCCTTGCCAGTGCTGGGGGTTACCTGGGAGCTGCCCCTTCCCTCCCCTACTCCATGGTGAGGGCTGACCCAGAAGGGTGATGGACTAGAGCCTCTACTTTCCCACAGGTGAGGGCTGAGCCTGGGACTCTCCTGGGGAGGGAGCAGGGAGCAGGCCCGTCTCTGGCAGGAGACACACAACGCCTGGCTTCCCCTTTTGGGCTGTTAACAGAAATCAGAAGTGGGCCCTGAGAGTTTCAAAATCTCAAGCACAAACCGACAGGGCCCCACTAACAGGGTCTGAGCCACAAGTATTCATGAGCACCCTCACAGGTGGGGCAAAGCAAAGTCCCCTGACACTGGGGACTTGGGTAGGTGTGTGGCCCAGACCTAGTAAGAACATTCCAGCTCCAGTGGACCCTGGCCTCCAAAGGAGCCACCCACAGCCTGCTCTCCAGGCAGCTGAGCCATCTTCTTGGCTCCTGAACTACCAAGTGTCTTGTCTTCAAATGAAACCTGGGACCCAGGCTCCTTCACCCATTTTTGTCCTGAAACCAGCCAGCCAGCCAAGCAGGCAGATTAGGACACACTCCGTGGTCAGAGGTAAGCAGGACAGACCGCGGGGGACTCCCCTCCCTGTCATGTGAGAGCTGTCTCCACAACCCTGGGGGCCAGGCGGAGATGACTTCAGCCACTGGTGACTTTTTTTGGCTGCGCTGGGTAAGCACCAGGGCCTTGTGCACTCCACCACTGAGCCACACCCAGCCCCCAACTAGTGGGTCTTAATGGTATTTATTTACACTCTGGTGAAAAAATGCATGGCCCCCTCCCTCCCTCCCTCTCTAAGAAACAAGCCCCTGGGGTCTGAGCCCCAGCTGGCTCATGACACTGTCATTCTGCAAAACATTGGAAGGGCTTTCAGCCCAAAGTGCAGCAGTGGTCAGCAGTGCAGGTGATCCTCAGGAGCAGCCCGGGGCTCTGTGGGGATGGGCTGAAGTGTGGTGCAAACTTCCCAAGGAGAACAGAAACCTGCGGTGACGGCACCAAGGAGGAAGCCAGCCCACAGCACCCATGTCACAACAGCATGCCACTCTGTCCCCAGCTGCAGCAGCCAGACCCCAAACCACCAGACACGCCGGCTCCAGCCCAGGGCAGACCTTCCCAGCAGCTGGGAGAACTGAGAAAGGGCCCAAGGAGGGAAGCTGTGACAGCAGACCAGGCCCAGCGAGGACTGTCGCATGGCAAGCCCCACAGGCAGACCCTCCTGCCCTCCCCAGGCTCCTCAGAAGGCCACCCCGCGCAGGGGCAGCAGCAGGGCCGCGGGCAGGTCCTGGGCCTCAGTTGGTGGGGCTGCACTGCAGGACCTGCTGCGGGGCAAAGAGCTTCCGGACAGCGGCGGCCTCCCCAGCCCTCCCCAGTGCCGGGCAGTTCTCCTTGTTGTCCTGCCCCGCAGGCTGCACCGAGGACTTCTTGAAGTAGCAGAGGCGACACACGGAGTGGTACTTGTCTGCTCCTCCGATCACCTCGACCTGGCAGCAGGGACCAGAAAGGGTTGAGAGGAGGGACTGGGACAGGGAGGGGGCGGTCCCACGCCCTCCACGCCCGCAGCAGGGGGCGGGCGCTACCTCCTTCTCCAGGCCCAGCCTCTTGGTGTAGGCGGCTTCCCGGAAGCACTCCATGCACACAGCCGTCAGCTTCACCACGCTCTCCGCCAGGGGCACCAGGTTCAGGATGGCACCAAACGCCTGCGACACGGAAGCGCTCAGCCACCTGCCAGGTGCGCGTCGAGGCTCCACCCTTTGACCCGCAGCACTGGGGCCAGGGACTTCGCCCTGACCTACTGTCCCCAAGTGCCACACCCCGAGGACCCTCTGCCAACGCAGGGCACCTGCGGCAGCAGAAGCAGCACGGCTGGGCAGACCGGCTCTGTGCCCTGTGTCCGCCGAGGCCCTCTCCCCACTCGTCCCACCCGAGACCCGGCCAGGCCGCACCTTCCTCTGGAAAGTCCCGTCCAGCGCCGCCACGATCACCGTCTTGCCGGCGTTGGCCATGGTCTCACAGAACTCCACGATGTCAGGGAACTGGGGGGACACGGAGAATGAGCTCGGGCCAAGCAGGGCCGCCTCAGCCAGCACTCTCTCCAGGGTCCCCAGGGCAGGGGACCAGGTCACCCATGCGCCCACCCACTGCCCAGCCCCCTCCACAGCAAAGCAGCAGCCGGGTACCAGTACCTGGCCCTGGACTGCTGCACCTGGAAGGGGCATCTCCACAGTCCTTCCCTCATGGCCCTCAGAAGGACCCAGCCCTGCCAACACCTTGCTCTTGGACTCCTGGCCTCCAGAACCATCAGAGAATCAACCTACTGCGCTGTTTGAGGTCCGGAGGGGGCTCCAGGAGTGCAGGTCATGCTTACCATGGACCTGCAAGGGATGAGCCAGCCGGGCAGCAAGGAGCCCGCCAGGGACAAGCCTGCCCACTGGGTTCAGTTTCTGCATCTCTGGGGAACCTGCAGCCAGCCAGCCCTTCCTTATTTTTGGTAACTGGGTCCTGAGCCCAGAAGGGCTTAACCACTGAGTCACATCCCCTGCCCTTTTATAATTTTTTATTTTGAGACAGGATCTCACTAAATTGCTTAGGGGCCTCACTAAATTATTGAGGCTGGCCTCAAACTTGGCATCCTCCTGCCTCAGCCTCCTGAGTCCCTGGGATCACAGGCGGATGGATCCCACCCAGCTCAGCCCACCATTTCTGAGAATCTGGATGGGGGAGGGATTAGGAGTCTGGAGGTGGGTTTTCATATTCTTCCACACCTGCCAAGAGTTGGGTGCTCACAGCAGGGCTGGAGCGGACCCTGGCACAGTAGGGCACTGGCACCCAAGGCTCAGGGCAAGGGCCACAAAGGACAGCAGTGGAGAACATGACAAAGAGAAAAAAGCCAAAAGTCCCCGAATGGCAAAAGACTGAATGAAACGCCAGAGACAAACACCAGGCAGGTGAACAGGAGAGACTCACTCAGCTGCTGCACCTCCACCACCACCAGCAGCAGGAGAGTGAAATGGGGGACCTAAAAAGGCAGCTCCCGAGAGAAATGAATACAGATGACCAAGAAACCCGGGAAGTGCCAGCCACGCTGGCCGTCAGCACTGGGAAGCACCGCGGGGGGCCTGCGCACACACCCAGAGGCCCGGCAGGTCCGCCTGTCCTCTGCTCTCCAGGCCACCCTCCAACTCTTGATTCTTTCCAGGTTTAAGGTCCAGGCCTTGGCCAGCAGCTGGCCTGCAGCCACCTAAGCTGCGGCTCCACCCTGATGGCTCTAGTCACACCTCGATCCCCAGACAGCCACAGGCTGGGCCTTCCCCACGGCTGGGCACCCGGGCTCCTTAGGCCCTCTCTGGCCATCCCCAGAGGGCATGTCCTGCCTTAACTCTCCATGCCCCTGAAGGCCCTGTCCCCTCACTTCCTCACCGCGGTCACCATCTGACGAGTGTAAGCTCAGGCAGGGGCTGCGGCTTGTGTCCTCAGCACCCAGTGCTGCTGCCCCACAGGACGAGCTTAGGAACCGAGTGAGACTGGCGTCTTGGCCCAGCGACACACACAACGGTCACAGCTTGTGACACGAACCCTCTGTAGAATGACGTACCCTGAAGATCAGAAGGATCTAGGTCAACATGTCTTCTTCTTTTCTGGGCGGTGAGAGAAAGGGCCCTCAGCAGCCAGAAACTGGCCTGGCACTTAGAGGACCCTGGTGGTGGCCACAGTCAGTTTTTTGGGGGACTGGGGATGGAACCCAGGGGCACTCCACTGCTGCGCCACACTTCAACCCTTTTTATTTTATTTTGAGACAGGATCTAGCTAAATTGCCCAGCCGGACCTGGAATTTGTGATCCTCCTGGCTCAGCTTTCCAAGCTGCTGGCATCACAGGTGTGACCGGCCACCTAGCTAAATAGTTGATATTAGGAGCCAAAATTAGGCAAGGCCACTCTGCCCAGGATGAAGGAGACAGACAAGACCCCGCCCCAGCCCTGTCTGAGCAGACAAAGCACTATCTCAGCCAGAAAGCAGTGGACGCCCAGCAACTCACCACACACCACAGCTCGGGATATGAACCCACAGAGACCAGAAGGGCACTGGGGCCAACCTAGCCACACAGTGGTGGCCTCCTTCCACACACCCTCGCCTCAGCTTCCCGAGGGCACCTGCTCAACGTCAAAGTCCTCCTCCAGAGGAACCCCAGGGATCCCAGGTCCCCACCCACAGCAGGCAGGAGAGCCGGGCCGTCAGCCCGAGCGCTGTTCCTGGTGGTCTCCGGCTGGAAGACACCCACACAGCAAACGACGGACTCCCATGTGTGTGCTTCACTTTTCCTAGATTAAGCCTGTTGTGTGTGGCAAATAGAAATAAAACACACAGCGATGACAAACCGACAGAAACGGTCTCCATATTGCCTCGGGGTGCCACGGGCCCTGTGAGCGCAGCACCCTGGCTGGGGCTTCAGCAGACTCACTGCCCTCCACAACCACGGGAAGGTCGTGGGCGGGGGGAGGGCCCTTTTGGTCCTGCTTCACCACAGGAAGCCCCTGGACTTCGGTGGAGAACCAGGGCCCAGCGGCTGGGCAGTCTGGACATGTTTTTCTTTTGTTTATTTCTGTGGCCCCGTGGTGCTAGAGGAGCACTGAGCGCGGAGCTAGTCTCTACCCTGGTGATGGATTTACACTGGGTGTAATAATTCCTCAAGAGCTGGAATCCAGGCTCTGGAACCCCAGGAGGGCTTCCCAGAGCTGACTCCCGGTCCTCAGGTCCATTCTGAGAACACGGCTGGAGGGGACAGGGAACGTCCACCCTCTGTCCAAACCCAGCTCACCTTCTTGCCGGGAATCACTGTGCTCAAAAGCACATCGAGGATCTGAAATGTGCCTGGCATGCCCAAGGCGGGTGGGCAGATGCCAGCTCCCAGAGGTCAGGAACCCAGAGTGGGCATCAGCAGCTCTGTGTCCATCTCAGAGAGGAGAGGCCCCACATGTGTGGGTAGGGAGCCTGTGACTTACCAACCAGCCCAGCTTCTCCCTCCAGGGAACAGAGCAGGCTCTGCCTGGTTGACGGGCCCTGCTCAAGCTGTAGGTCAGCAGAGGTGACATAAGTGACTTCTAGACTGGCCCATGAAAACCCACACCCAAAGTGTGTTCTGGATTTTCCTTTCCATTCTGAACGGGACCCCCCTGTGACAGTGGCCAGCCCCATGGGCAGGTTCTCCATCAATCGAGTTGGAGTCACATAGGACCACGTGAGAAATAAGTTCCGATTGTGTGTCACCCTTTTATCAAATCACCATGGGGCATACCTTGACTTTATTCCATCTTTACTGGACGATTAAAAAAAGAAATGTGTGGGCTGGGGCTGGGGCTCAGTGGTAGAGCACTTGCCTAGAACACATGAGGCCCTGGGTTCAATCCTCAGCACCATATAGAAATAAATAGTTAAGAATATCGTGTCCATCTGCAACTAAAAAAAAAAAAAAAAAGTCAGCCTGTAATCCCAGTGATTTGGGAGGCTGAGGCAGGAGGATAGAGAGTTCAAAGCCACCTCAGCAACTTAGCAAGGCACTTAGCGGGCTGGGGTTGTGGCTCAAGTGGTAGCGCGCTCGCCTGGCATGCGTGCAGCCCGGATTCGATCCTCAGCACCACATACAAACAAAGGTGTTGTGTCCGCCGAAAACTAAAAAATAAATATTAAAATTCTCTCTCTCTAAAAAAAAAAAAAATCACAAATGTTGAATATGATTGAATAGCTTTGGGTCATCTATCTAAACTAATAGAAGACTTCCTTTATAAAAAAAAAAAAAAAAAAGGCACTTAGCAACTCAGCGAGACCCTGTCTCTGAATAAAATATAAAAAAGGGCTGGGGAAGTTTGATTGAACCCCTGGGTTCAATCGCTGGTCCATCCTGGGGATTGGAAGAACAATGTCCATCCTGCTCAGCCTCTGTTACTTGGGGTGCATTTGTCGTCGTAGCTTTCACTGCCCTCCCTAATGGACTGGAGGTGAAATCAAACCCGCCTAGGGGATGAATTAAACTAAGCCCCATTGAGAGCGGGCTTCAGCTTCATTCATCCAAGATAAACCTGCAACAACAAAACCCCAAAGCACAGGTCAGGAACCGAGACCAAGGACAGCCTGCAAACTCCACCAGGGAACATGCTTCTGAAGCAACAGAAACGCAGTCAGCCGGAGAGATTAACCTGAGACTTTTCAGACGGACTATAGAAGAACAAGGGATTCAAGGCAAAACCAAAAGAGTAGATTGTTAAGCTTCCCCTGGACACTCTGTTCTCCAAGACCAGCCAGGTGCCAACAGCCTTTCCACGGAACACGGCGGTGCCACACCTTGCAAAACAGCAAGGCTGACCGGCCAGGCGCTGGCCACCCAGCCCAAACCAGGAGCCAGACACGTTTTCACCTTCCCACCCACACATCCTGGCTGCAAGAACTGCCAACGGACACGCTTCAGCAGGGAGAAAGATCAACCCCCAGGAACAAGCAGAAGAGACAAGGAGCCAAACAACACTCCCCACACACAGTGTTAGAAATCTAATCTGTTTTGTTCACTAAACTATTTTTAAGGGCTAAAAAAAACCCTGTATGACCGTGACGTGGAAGCCAGTGAGGGAATTCAAGGTATTCTGACACGAGTCGAGGCACGTTGGCCTCGTTACTGCAGAGAACCTCCAAGCCAGCGCGGGGAGGGGCGGCCGGGACGGGACACTTACGAACTGCCCCTCGTCGATGCCGATGACAGCCGCACCCAGGGCCTCCTGGGCCGTGTCCCGCAGCAGGCAGGCCGGCAGAGCATCCATGGTGTTCCTGGCAAGGGGAAGCCAGGGTGAGCAAGGCCGAGGGAGGGGCCTGGGACCAGATATGTGTGTGTGTGGCCCTCGTCTGGCACCCCCGCCTGCAGGGCAGCCCCGCCGCCTGGCAGAGCTCTAGAAAGCCAGCAATTAGGGGAACAGCTCTGGGAGAATACAGGACCCTGTTCAGAAGAGCGTCTGTTGACACAAGTCATCTCAAAGTCCAAGATGAGCCTGCAAAGCCCTTCTCTCCGGTGCCCTGGGGTGGGGGACAGACAAGGCCAACTTTGGTTTTTGTCTGTTTGCAGTACCGGGATGGAATCCAGGGCCTCATGCATGCTGGGCAAGCACTCTACCACTGAGCCAGCCCAGGGGAGACTTCTCCATCAGGGATAACACCCACAATAGCTTTGGGGCCAACAAAATGTTTTCATTTCTTTTAAAATTCAGAATAGTCGGGTGTGGTGTTGCACGCCTATGATCCCAGCCACTTGGGAGGCTGAGACAGGAGGATCCTGAGTTCAAAGCCAGCCTCAGCAATAGCGAGGTGCTAAGCAACTCAGTGAGACCCTGTCTCTAATAAAATACAAAAAAGGGCTGGGGAAGTGGCTCAGTGGTCGAGTGTCCATGAGCTTCACTCCCTCGTACTGCCCTCCCCCCCCAAAAAAAAAGAAAAAGAAAAAAGAAAATACAATTCAAATTTTCAAATATGTGAAAATTTTCAAATTTTCACATAGGAGCTAGGGGTGTAGTTCAGTGGCAGAGCACATGTCCAGCATATGCAAGACCTCAATCCACAGCACCAAAAAAAAAAGTATTTTCTTTTGGAGGAAAGGGCCCACAAATGCCATGTGGCCCTGGGCAGCCCATAAGCACCAACTCAGGCTAAGAGGTAAGCAGTAGGGCAGTGACCCACAGCTCCCTCCCTCTGGCACCTCCAGAAAACTAAGGAGCCCTCCAGGAGCACATGGCTCCTCGCTGGCAGTGCCAGGCTGATCCCAGGCTTGGAGCGTGGACCTGCTGTCATCCGGCTGGGAGGATCCCACCCAGCCGTGCTATGAGAGGCATGTGTGGGAATGTTCCAGTGCCACCTCCCATCCCCCTAGCAGGCCATTTCAGGAATGGAAAGTGGTGCCCTGTCCTCTGCCTTTCCAAATAGTGTCTATGTTTTTCTACAATGTTGTTTTCTTCTGTTCCCATTTCTGCCTAATCTTCTGAACTAGACTTCAGAGAGGGTAGTTTCCTGAAGGCTCAGCAGTTTGTAGCTGTATTTGTAAAAAATAAAGTACTTCATGACTACTACTTAGTTATTATCTTTCAATAATAACAGTCAAGATCTGGGAAGAACATGAAACAACATTTTGTGCATTTCAAATTCCCTCTTCCTGGGCTGGGGCTAGGGCTCAGTGGTAGAGCACTTGCCTAGCATGTGTGAGGCACTGGGTTCGATTCTCAGCACCACACATGAATATGGAAAAAAAGTGAAAATAAATAAATTCCCTCTTCCCTCTCCAAGCACACAAGACCAGAGAGAGGACAGGAGCAAGCCAGCTATGGCTTCGACCAGGGTGGTATCTCTCCTGTGAGAGTGACTTGTGACCCCTGGCAGGGCTCTGTGATCTGACCTGTCTGGAAGGTACATGTGGCAATTGCCCATCACCGCCCCTGCTTTCACTGTCCTTCTGGATGCTCACCCCATCCTGGCAGTGGACACCATGGTTACGAACCACCAGGAAACAAACATGGAGGAGTACGCGACCACATCAGCTAGCCTGGCCTGGCCAGAAGGGTTGCTTGAACCCTGGCACTCGCTCTAGGCTGGGCCACCACTCCCTCCACGCCACCTCCCACCCCAGGCTGTGCCCTGGGCAGCTCTGTTCTTCAGACAGCCAAGAGCGACCTGGGGATGTGGGCCCAGGACGCACATGTGGCTCAGCACAGCTGTCACTGGGTCAGTTCCAGAGGACTGGGGAAGGGTGCCTCTGGCTCACAATACCAGCCCTGCTGTGCGCCAAGGAACTAAATTTAACCTCGGCCCTGAGGTTGTAGGCGGAAATGTTCGCAGGATTTAGGCAGATAAACATAACACCCGGAAGTGTCAAGGCCACAAGATGATAGGGAGCCAGCGAAGGACAGATGACCAAAACACGAAACAAGAATCAATGCACAGGCCAAACAAAACCCGAGTTCAGCCTCTGCACTGATGCAAGCTCTAGATCAGGGTTTCCCAATGTTGGGCACAATGGTCATTTGGGGCCTGGTTTTTCTGGGTGGCAGGGGCTGTCCTGGACAACACAGGATGTTTGGCAGCATTCTTGACCTCTACCCATCACAGGCTAGAAGCATCCCATCCCTCTTCAGCGGTGACAACTAAGGATGTCTCTAGATATTGTCAAACGGTCTGGGGGTGGGGCAGGAATCTCTTCACCACTGCTGAGAACCACTGGCCCCAGGCCTAGGCCACCTTGCCAGGCACCCTGGAGGGCATGCCAACTTGAAAGCCAAGAATCAGAGTTACTAACAATCCCTGCTAAACAAAGCTGCAGTGTGTTCTGCGCCTTGGGATTTTCCAGGACAGGATCAGAGGGAGCAGTGACTGACCGGTCGTGAGTGGAGAAGCTGTTGCTGTAGCGGGTGTCTTTGGCATATTTGATGACAAGGCACTTGTACTGGGCGATCTGGAAGCGCCGGACTCGCCTCATCAGCTCCGTGCTGCAAGAGTAGAAGGTCAGGAAAGGCCAGCCTGCAAGGCAGCTCCCCATCGCCCTCTTGTGGCGCACAGCCTGAATCCCACCACTGTCCAAGAGCAGAGCGTGGGAAGAAAGGGCAGGGAGTCCACGGAGACACCGAGACCAGCCCACAGGGGGTGCTGGGCATTACTTTGGAGCCCGGCTATCAGTAACACCCGCAGGGGGCTGGAGGCCAGAGTGCTCCGTGGGTAGGGTGGCCAGGAACGGTGCCCAGCCAAATGGTCCCAGGAAGGACTGGAGGTGCAAGGTTCTTAGGGATACTGTGGAGACTGTGGGCAGAGGCTGGCTGCATTCCAGGGTCATCTTACCCCAGAGCTATTCAGAGTGAACACAGCGCTTTTCTGAGTTAACTTTGCAAAGACTTTTTGTGCAACAGCTCTTGCTTCTGGGAAAGAATTCCGACCCCGGGCTCCACCCTCTAGCAAAAGCTTGGGAATGGTCCCTTGCCTGGGGGAGCAAGGCTCCTAGGCTTCAGATCACGCGGAGCAGGAAGTTTCTTTGGCCACATAAGGAAACAGCTATAGAGTGGGGGCGTCCAGACACTCATTGCCTGGCCACAACTGGACGCTCTTGTGAGGACATAGAGGGGTAGGTGCTAAGCTGTGGCCAGCTGTGGCCGGCTGCAGGAAGGCTTGACCTGGCGGGCGGGCGCAGGCTTCCTCTGGGACCGGATTCCAGGGAGGACAGGAATGCGGGCGGGAAGGTGCAGGCCAGGCGGTGCAAGCTGCTCTGGAGGGGACCTTCGAGAGGGGCGGCCGGCCGGGGTCGCGGGGGTCCCAGGGAAAAGGTCAGCCCACCCCGAAGGACTATTACCTTTTTCCCGAGAACATGGGCCCGAGAATCACCTAGGAGGTAAGGAGAAGTCATTGTGGCCCGCTCCACGCGGGCACCACGGCCCCGACCCCCGCGGGCACCACGGCCCCGACCCCCGCATCCCCCGGCCCCGCACCTGGATCTGCCCCCGAGTCTTGCTGGGGGAGCCGGGCAGCACGGTGGGTAGGTTGACACAGCTCATGGCGGCTCGGAGACCCCTCCAACAGGCAGCTGCACTCCCACTACACCCCGCAGGTTCCCGCCGATTCGGCGCCCATACCTTTAAACTGCGCACTGGCCAATCAGGAGCCTGCGCCACCAGCGCAGCCAATCAGCGCCCGGCGGAGCCGGCGGGAGAGAGAACCTCAGTAAGTAACTCAAGAATTGGGCCCCGCGGGGCGGGAACAGGGCGGTGGGCGGGGAGGGGCGTGGCCTGGCCGGAGCCCCGCCCCGCTGCAGGGGGCACTCGCGGGCCGCGGGTCTTTCGTCTGCGGACTGCGGCATGGACCGGGCGGGCGTGGGTGGCGGCCGCGAGGCCGCCTGGAGGAAGCTGTCTGCGGAGGTAGGCGGGCCGAGGGGCGGCCGGGCCGCGGGGTGCGCCCGGAGACGGGCTGGGAGTCCGAGGAGGGCCCGGGAAGCCGTCGGCAGGTTCTCGGTAGCCCAGGCCCGGGTCCCGCCGGGTCAGACTCCTAGGCCGGCGGGAGGCGGGAGCGCCGAGTCGGACTTAGATCTGAGTCTGCGCAAGGGTCAGGTCAGGGTCGGGGTCAGTGCCTGTGAACCCCCAGAAGGGGCCGGGTGGCACCGCGGCTGGTGTGAGGTTAGAGGAGACCTGCCCAGCACGGTGAGTGGCTTTCCTGCATAGTGTGCTCCTCTACCAGTGCGGTAACCGAGGCCAGCGACTGTCCTGCCCAGGGAGCAGTAGCCAGCACGTGATGAAGCTCAGATGGCGTTTGACGCTAGGTCCTTCTGTGAGGACACTGTCCTCAGGTTTCCCACGACTGTGGCTTTGAGCCCTTTCTCCAAACCTGGTTCCTTGTTACCTTCTGCATCAAGTCTGGACGTCTTGGCCCTATGTTCAAGACCCTCTGGCTTCTAGCCCCAGCTCTCCAGCCTCCCCTCTGCTCTAGTCTTCTGGCCAGGCAGCATGTACAAACTGACCTTTGGTTCCCTCCTCACCTCCGTCCCTTTGACTGCGGGTCAGCCTCCCACCAGCATTGCCCTCTGTCGCTCTGTCGGAGGCCGCCCTGAACAGGAGCTTTGCGCATATCTCTTGTGTAAAGAGGTACTGCACTGGCATTGCACCCACTGCGGTGCATGTGGGCTTACCTCTGCGGCTACAAGAGGTGCAGCTCTGGGAGTGGACATCAACTCATGGGAGTGAGTTACACCCTCCTGTTTGTTGTAATACTGCCCCTTGCCCTTTTTTGGATGGAACATTCCATCAAATGGCTCCCCTCAATAAATTGGGCTTTGGAACATGCTCCAGCGCACTCTCTCTCTCTCTCCTGCCTCTCTTGTTTTTCTCTTGCCCCCCTTGTGGGAGCTTACATCTGAAGGGGAGAAGCCGTCTGAATTGCCCAAGAAAAAGGTACTTTCTCTGTATGTCTGTGTGATTATTTTGTGCCAGCCCAAGTTTACCCGAGTGACCCGGTTCAGTGGCCCGAGCTGGATGGGGAGGTGAGCTCCATTTCAGCAGTAGACACCCTGCTGCCTGGCCTCTGTGGTCTCAGTTGCTGGAGGAGTGGGACCCATGGTGCCATTAACTGGACACCTTTATGGGACTGCATCTCCCCACGGGGCTGTCAGCCAGCTAAAGGCACAGCTGTCCCCAGGGGATCCAGACCATGGATCCTAGGGTGTCTTCACTGCTTGAAGCACTAATGGGGCAGTAGTGGAGGAGTGAGGAGCAGTGGGGGGAGCCTGAGGAGTGGGAGGGGTGGGGGACACATTCAGTTGAGAACAAGGGTCTCATGGAGTCTGTCTGTCCTATAGGAGCTGGAGAACCAGTATGCGCCCAGCAGATGGGTCATCCGAATGGGAGCAGAGGAAGCCCTGAGGACCTATAAGCAGATAGGAATTGAGGGTACCATATTGTCTCTCTACAGCTGCCTTGGGTGGCCGTTAGCATGTGGGCAGTGGTTTGGTATACTGGGGGAAGGGAGGAGCCGAACCCCAGAGTCTCGAGGGGCACTTCCCAAACACCAGGCATTGGATAGGGGGCAGGTGCCCAGACCCTCACTGCAGGGTGGGTGGAGGCAGGAGCAGCCCAGGTGAGGGCAATGGCTCTGTTGAGCATACTTGGCCTCCCTTCCTGCTCAGCCAACTGTCGTAGGCCCTAAAGTTCACATGCCACGGTTGGCACAGGGAGGTGAGGTGAAAAAAGGAAGGCTCCTACCCCACTGTTGGGCCGGTGGTATTTATTTATAAAAAGCAACAAGCCTTTTTCTTCTTGAAAGAAATCAGGGTGTGTGGGCTGGGGTCGTTGCTCAGCAGCAGAGCGCTTGCCTAGCACGTGAGGCCCTGGGTTCGATCCTCAGCACCACATAAAAACAAATAAATAAATAAAATAAAGGTATTGTGTCCAATTACAACTAAAAAATAAATATATATAAAAAAAGAAATCAGGGTGTGTCAAAATGAAAAATAGAAAGGGCCGGGATGTGGCTCAGTAATAGCACAGCCCTAGGTTCAATCCCCAGTACTGCAAATCAATCAATAAATGAGGGTGGGAACCTGTACACACGTGAGTGTCCCCGTGGACCCTGTCTGCCCTGTGCCTGCATAGTGCTGGGCTAGGAAGCCAACGTAGCGGATTCATGCTGGGCAGGGGCAGCCCAAGAGGAAGCATGGCCCGGAGGCATGGCTGCTCAGTGTGGTAAACTGGACTTTGGCAAACCTGCCTGTTCCTGCAGCTGGCTGCAACCTTTGGCAGGATTCTCTCTGCCTTACGGAGGCAGCTATCTGGGATCCCAGGGTGGGTGGTTTTCCAGACTGAAATAACCAGGCGGAGAATCGTGCTTCTGGGGAGTTTGTTCCATACATTCCATCCTCCTCCCTGTCTGTCCTCAGCTTCCTGGGCACATCAGGGTCCTTCACTTCGCCTCACACACACCAGCTCTGTGCTGTATGTACCTCAGTTTGCGCAGTAAGAGAGAGAGAGAGAGAGAGAGAGTGTGTGTGTGTGTGTGTGTGTGTGTGTGTGTGTGTGTGTGAAAGAGAGAGAGAGAGAGAGTGTGTGACTTGATAAGACCTGTTCGCCTGTCTTAATGGCCTGCAGGGATAAAAGAGTTGGCCCTACTGAGAACGGGGTAGGATGTCAAAAGCCAGAGCTAAGCGGAGTGCTGTGCCAGTGATCAGAAACAGCAGGTCTCTCCACAAGCCCTGGGGGGCTGTACCTTGACAAGCTCTTGCTCCCCTTCCTCTTCCAAGGCTCCAGTAGACCCCGCAGAGCTGTGGGTAGGACTAACCCACTTCACAGATGCAGATCCCGAGCCCATGAACAGGTGTGGCGTATACAGCAGGCTTGTGCATGTGCTGGGTTGCAGCCTGTCTTTATTTTTAAAAAAGAAACAAGATCTTGCTATGTTACTCAAGCTGCTCTTGAACTCCTGGGCTCAAGGATCCCCGACTCAGTATCCTGAGTGGCTAGGACTCCATATGTGGGCTATGCAGTGCTGGGGGTTGAACTCGGGCCTTGCTCGTGTTAGGCAAGCACTCTACCTCTGAGCCACATCCTTGGCTCCTAAAATTTTGATAGGTTATTTGGTGTGGGGTTTCCTATTGCTAGGGATTGAACTTGGGGGCACTGTACCACTCCAGCCCTTTTTATTTTTTATTTTGAGACAGGGTCTCACTAAATTGCTGAGGCTAGCCTCAAATTTGGCAATCCTCTTGTCTTCACCTCTCCAATTGCTGTGATTACAGGTGTGTGCTCCTGTGCCTGACAAGGGACTTTTTGATTTTTAATAAGTATTTTATTAAGCCCATAATCCTAGTATGCTGAAGGCTAAGACAGGAGGATCACAAGTTCAAGCCCAGCCTGGGCAACTTAATGAGACCTTGTCTCAAAAATTTAAAAAGGGCTGAGGATATTGCTCAGTGGTGCAGTACTCCTGGACTCAGTCTCCAGAACCTCACACACACAAAAAGTATTATATTAGAATATTGACCTTGATTACTGAGTTCGGTAGTCTCACCCCCTGCTTAAATTTGGTGCCTGAGACAGGAGGTTGAATGACTTACCCAAGCTGATACAGCCAGTGACGGGGCCCCTTCCCCAAGCCAAGCTTCCCGTCAGAGTAGGGCACATAGACAAGGGGTGGTGTTGGTCAGGCATGTTAGCTGAGTGCCCAGCCCCAGAAATCAGGTTCCCAGATTTCAGTGCAGTCTGTGGGACTCAGAGGCTGCCTCATTGGAATCAAACTTCCAGGAGATGGAAGGAGGATATAAAGCAGATGATATTGGGGAAATGGTGAAAAATAAAGTCTTCCGTCCCAGAAAAACCTCTCCACAAACACAGAAGAAAAGAAGAAGGTTTATTATTGAGTAAGGTCTCAACCTCCCTTCACTAGGACTACCCGCAGGTGATCCACCAAAGAGACTGCAGATCCGGGGTGAAACCCCATCCTCCCAGAGCCAAGTAGTGGCACCTCACTGCCCTGCTTCAGAGCCCTGAAACACCATTTGCCGCACTAGTCCACCCTAAATCCACCTGGAAATTAGAGTGGCCATTGTTGTGTTAGCTGGTTGCCTTTATCCAAAGGTGGGGGGAATTCCATATTTCAGGAGGAGGAGGGTTTGCAACTTAGAGCTGGGTGCCAGCAGAGGGTGGCCTCCTCCCGCCCTCCCCTGGAGTCTGAGGGATAGACTTTATCCTCCTTGATGATTACAGTCCCAAGAGATGGCTCCCAGGCCCTTGAGCTAATAAAACCAGCAAGACTCATTTAACTTTCAAAACTATTTGTATATGTTTCAAAGGGGTAAAGATTTACAATGGTAGGTTTCCTAAAATAAATGCTCCACGAAAAGAGAGGGTTAAACTTTTTCTTTTTTGTACCTGGGAGAATGAACCTTTCTCCTCTGTTTTTCGTTTATATCCACCCCCACTGCCTCAACCTAGACCTCGCAGTGGGGTGTGTTCTTTCGTAATTAGTTGGTTGCCTTCATCCCTCTCCAAGTCCTGGCCTTCCTGGGGCTGGGCACCTGGAGGACAGAGTCAGCTGCCCTGTGACCTGCTAAGACCCCTCAGGAGCAGGAGGCTGGCAGATGGGGCTTAAGAACTATTTCCTCACCCATGGTTTTTGAATTTGTTTTACCAGGACCTTCAGTAGAAACACGTTTTATGCTAAAGGAAACGCAGTATGTACATATTGTCCAGGTGCTAACGGATGCACCTCCTAAAGGCTCTAGGTTCAGAGGACACGAGGGTGGCTGCCAGGCACTGGGGCAGGAAGGAGTGCGGAGGTCAAGTTTAATGGGAGCATTGTCAATTTAAGGAGATGGAGAAGTTCCAGAGAGGGCTGCACGGTGTGGAGGAACTTAATGCCTCTGAGCTCTGCACTTAGAAACGAAGGGCTGGGCTGGGGCTCAGCGGCAGAGCTCACCTAGTGTGTGTGAGGCACTGGGTTCCATCCTTGGCACCACATAAAATTAAATAAATGAAAAATAAAGGTATTCTGTCCATCTACTAAGAATAAAAAATTGAAGTGGTAAAAATTATGTATATTTCACCACAATTTAAAAATATTTTACATCATTTTAATACATATGTATAAAAAACGTACACAAAATACTTTTTGTGTATGTGTGTGTGTGTGGTTCTAGAGATTGAACCCAGGGCTGTGGTACCTCTGAGCCACAACCCCAGACCTTTTTATTTTTTGATACCAGGGACTGTACCCAGGGGCACTTAACCACTGAGCCACATCCCCAGCCCTTTTTATTTTTTATTTTGAGACAGGGTCTTGTTGAGTTGCCTAGGCAGGCCTTTAATTTCCAATCCTGCCTCAGCCTCCCCAGTAGCTGAGGTTTCAGGTGTGAATCACCACACCTAGCATACGACACTAATTGATGTAGGATACACTGTTCCAAAAATCTGAAATCCAAAATGCTCTAAAACCTGAAGCTTTTTGAGCACCAACATGATGCCACAAGGGGAAAATTCCACACCCAACCTCACGTGAGGTGTCGCAGTCAAAATGTAGTCACCCTAAAAATACTGTAAAAATTACCCTCAGATGACACGTGTAAAATGCATATGAAACATCAGAGAATTTCGTGTTTAGACCAGGGTCTCGTCACTAAGAAATCTCTTAATTTTGCCTCTAGTCTTGTTTCTCTAGAGGCTTATTTTCCCAAAAGTTTGGGATAGTTTGCGCCTCTTATGGTGCATAGCAAAGCCCAGTGCCTGAGATCAGCATGCAGTACAGTAGAGGGAGAAAGGTGCCCGTCAGAGCCACAGGTCACGGCCAAGACTGGGGAGTCCTCTTTCACGGGGGGACTCTCAGCTGATACTTGCTTGTCAACCCAGCCTGACATAGAAATTGCTGCTACCCACCCAGTGGCATACCCTTGTAACCCTAGTAACTTTGGAGGCTGAGGCAGGAGGATCACAAGTTCAAGGCCAGCCTGGGCAACTCAGCAAGATCTTGTCTCAAAATAAAGAAGGGGCTGGGATGTAGCTCCATGTAGGGCACAAATGAGATAGATAAGAAATTGCTGTGATCTGAGCTTTACTGGCAACTCGTCTATTTCCTGAGGCAGCCACTAGGAAAGCCCGTGACACCTGCAGGAGCCAGCTGCATGTCCCCTATGGAGATGGTGATGGGGAGAAAATGGACATCTACTTTCCTGACCAGGCATCTGAAGGTGAGCCAGGTGGGCTGGCGGTCCTAAGCAGGCAGCGGTGCCTGGCCCTACCCTGCACTCTTTTGTGTTACAGCCTTGCCTTTCTTCGTGTTTTTTCACGGAGGGTACTGGCAGAGTGGAAGGTGAGTCGGGGATTTGGACAGTGGAGCCAGGGGAGACTAGTCTCTCTGGGGTCCCAGGATTGCTGCAGCAAACTGCTTTCAGCTTGCAGCTTCCATCAGTGGAAATCCATTCTCAGGCTGCTGGAGGTGGAAGTCGGCATTCAGGGTGCCCCTGGAGTTGGGCGCTCTCTGAGGTTCTAGGGAGGGGAGGAGGATCCTTCCTGGCCTCTTCCCAGTTCTGGTGGCTCCAGGTGTCCCTTGGCTTGTGGCTGTATACCCCAGCCTCTGCCTACAGCTTCACTTCATTGTTGGTATCCTGTCTCAAATCTCCCTCTGCTTGTTTTTAGAAGGATAACAGTCATTGAATTTAAGGCCCTTCCAGTTCTGTTTGCAAAGATCCTATTTCCAAATAAGGTCATATCTGCAAGTTTTGGGAGTTAGGATTGGTACGTGTCTTTTTAGGAAACACAATTCAATCCACTATGCCCAGTGAGAAAAGCATGTTTGGACAGCTCTCACATCAAGGGAAAATCCAGGGTGACTAACTGTCCCAATTGCTTAGGACAGAAAGATCTCCCAGGATCTGGAGCTTGAAGTGCTTGGAAAAAAAAAAAAGAAAAAGAAAGAATGTCCCAGGCCAGCTGGGACAGTGGGTCACCATGAGCCTTAGCTCAAGGGTATTTGGAGCTTGGACCACACTGATGTTCCCTAGCGCCTTGTTATAGTTGTCTGCCAGAATCCACGCCCTTCACGCTGCCTACAGTTCTGACCTTCAGCTCTCAAAAGCAGTTTAGCTACGCGCAGTGGCATAGGCCTGTAATCCCAGCGGCTCTGGAGACTGAGGCAGAAGGATCTCAAGTTCAAGGCCAGCCTTGGCAATTTAGCCCAGCCTGTCTCAAGATAAAATATGAAAGGGCCGAGGGTGTGGCTCAGTGGTAGAGGTGCCATGAACTCAATCCTCAGCACCAAAAAAAAAAAAAAAAAAGAGAGAGAGAGAGAGAAAGAAAGAAAGGCAGCTGCGGCAGCCAAGAGGGAACATATTTGTCCCTATTTTAAAGGTGAGGGAACCAGGCTTAGAGGGTGAAGTCCCCAGTTGCACTCTTCCCTGTCACGCGATGCTCTGCTTGCATGGGACATCTGGCATGTGGTGTGTCTGGGACATAGGAGAAGCAGCATGGGGGACGAGTGGCCTCCAAGTGTCACTTTTTGTCTCTTTCTGCAGTAAAGACGAATCTGCCTTCATGGTCAACCCCCTGACAGCACAGGGAGTGGCTGTGGTGATAGTGGCATATGACATTGCCCCCAAAGGTAACAAGGGTGTCCCTGCAGGCTCCAAGGCCAGTGGGCTTTGTGGGAGGAGAGCCCCCGATGGATGCTGACCCAGCCTGTGCTCCTGTTCAGGCACCCTGGACCGGATGGTAGACCAGGTGGCCCGCAGCGTTGCCTTTGTTGAGAAGCGGTATCCAAGCAATAAGTGGGTGTCGCTCTTCTTGTTGGATCACACTGGGTGGGAGCACAGTGGATCCAGGCCCACTGGGCACGGCCAGGCTGCCTGCCCCTTTGGCCTGTGGAGTGGAAGGCAAACTGGGATCCTGATGCTTTGAGGAAAGTGAATGCAAACTCGGCTGTCTGGCACCCCAGGGGAATTTACCTGTGTGGACACTCTGCTGGGGCCCACCTGGCTGCCATGGTCCTCCTGACCAACTGGACCAAGCATGGAGTAACACCCAACTTTAGAGGTATCTGCAGGGACTGCAGCCCAACTGGGTAGCCTTCCCCTTCCCCACTGGTCCTGAGGGTTTGGGCCAGCTGCTCAGAATCCTAATGGCCAGGCATGGCTTGACTTGGAAGGCTCTGTTCCCCTGGAGCAGGGCGTTCTCAGCCTCTTGTCCACCCCGACCCTGGTCTTGCCCCACTGAATTCCTCCCTTGCAGGCTTCTTCCTGGTGAGTGGGGTCTATGACCTGCAGCCCCTCGTGTTCACCTCACAGAATGCTGCTCTCCTCATGACCCTGTGAGTTGCTTGCCCTCCTGCTGCCCTGCCAGCCTAGGGCCTGGCTGCCTGTCCTGACCCTGCCCAACCCTGCCCCAGGGAAGATGCTCAGAGGAACAGCCCTCAGCGGCACCTGGAGGTGGCCCGGGCACAGCCTGTGGATCCAGCCTGCCCTGTGCTGGTGGCTGTGGGTCAGCATGACTCCCCCGAATTCCACCGCCAGTCCAGGGAGTTTCATCAGGTACTCAGCACCCAGTCTGTCTGGAGGTCATGGGTCACATGGTTCACTCGTTCTCTCTCTCTCTCTTCATTTTGCCCAAATGGATCCCAAGACCATGTCAATTACCTGACAAGTGTTTACTGAGTACTGCCATGTGCCAGGCACTGTGTGTCCCCTCCCCTCCTGCAGCCTCACACCTACTCCTCCTCACTCCCCCGCCCAGGCACTGTGCCGAGGTGGCTGGAGAGCCTCCTTTGAAGAACTGCGTGATGTGGACCACTTTGAAATCATTGAGAACCTAACCCAGAAGGACTATGCACTCACCCAGGTGGGCCACAGCCCTTCCCACTGCCTGTACCCCCCTCACTGGGCTGTATGGGTACTGTTGAGGGAGTGGGAGGGGCTGCAGGCAGGAGCCACTTTGCCTGGGTCTCTAGCATCCAGAAGGCTAAGGCCTGGGCCCTGATGATGAGAATCATCTGTGTGTCACCTGCCTGTGAAACAGCCCCAGGGCATCTCCTGGGGATCCAGGGGAGCCCTAGCTACATGTGCTATGGTGAGGCTGCAGAGGGACAGGGAGGAGAAACACTGGCCTGTATGTAGGCAGGAAAGCAAAAGCCAATTCCATAAATATTTATTGCAACTTTAATATAGAGAATGTCACAATTAAAAATCAAAGGACAAACAGAAAAATATTTGTCACAAACATGGCAGTTATAGAGAGTTAACTCCCACCCCAGGAGGGCACTATATTAGTCCCACTTTTTTTTTTTTTTTTAAGACTTCTGGTGCTGGGGATGGAGCCCAGGGCCTCTGGCATGCTAGTGCCGTACCACTGAGCTGCTCCCCCAGCCTACTAGCTGCAGACAGAACAAACACCCACACAACCTAAGAAAGACCACCTGTTTCTTTAATGGAATCCTACAGTAGCCACAACAGTCCTGAGGCTTTTGGGTCTTCTCTTCCTGCAACAGATCATTCTGAAAACCATCTTGCAGGAGTTCTGACCACATCTGGCCCCACCAGCAGAGAGCCCCTGGAGCCATGCTGTCTGCCTGCTGTAGCCCCTCCCTCCTCACTGCTGATAACACTGGCAAAAACCTCCATGTCCTCCAGCCACCCAGCCTGCATTAAGCCCCAGGGAAGTCCCCAGGTCAGTGCTGAGATACCCACAGCCACCTTGTGGCCAAGTCTGACCCCTTTACTTGCTGCAAGGTATGACAAAAATGACTTGCCTCTGGCTCACTGTTTTGTACAGCTTGTGACAGTTGTGAGTATCAAATTGGGATAACTGGGGCCAGGCGTGTGGCTTAGCTGTAGAGCACCTGCCTGGCATGGATGGGCAAGACCCTGGGTCCCACCCCCAGCACTTCACAAACAGAAACCAGAGTCACTAGGAAGGAACCCTCCCACACATGTGCCTCCAAGGCCACTGTGAGGAATCTCTCAAACTGCATCCTGCACAGGACACCTGTGACATGTGCCCACCACTGAGCAACCTAGCTCCTACAACAAGCCGTGTGGCCTGGGTGCCTCTTTCAGAACAGTCTATGCAGACCCGTCCTTTCTTACTTTTAAATGCCCCCTCACCTGATTCATCTCCAAATCCCAAAAAGTGACCTGAAAAGTAACCTCGACTGGAACCACTGGTGCCAAGATGGAGTGGTTTCTCTCACCACTGCTTATTCACTGGACTTTGCTGCAGAATTAAGAAAATTCTTGGGGCTGGGGATATAGCTTGGTTGATAGAACGCTTGCCTCACATGCACAAGGTTCAATACCCAGCACCACACACAAAAGAAATTTCTAAAGCAAAAACATAACCTACAATGAAAACAGCTTTTGCTTAAAGATGACAATAAAATGTTGCAATTTTAAAAAATGCCTCCCTTCAACCTCTTCAGATGCACCTAGGGTCTACCACAGCATGTGTCTGGGATTATAATCCCCGTCTGTTCCCAAATAAGCTCTGAAAAAATACTTTTCCTGGGCCTCATACCAGACCTGCAATCTCAGCGACTCTGGAGGCTGAGGTAGGATAACCAAAACTATGAGGCCAGCCTCAGCAATTTTGTGAGATCCAGTCTCAAAAACAAATTTTAAAAGGGTTGGGGTGTAGCTCAGTGGTAAAGTACCCTGGGTTTAATTCAAACACCACCAAAAAAAAAAAAAAAGGATGGTCTCTTGTCATTCATTTCAGACCCACAAACTGAGAATGGTTTTACATTTTTAGAAGACTGGAAAAGAAAAATAATGAATATAATGCCATGAGATGTAAAAATCACATAAAGCTTAAATTCTAGCATCCATAAATACATTTGTGTTGGGACCCAGCCCTGCCCATTCACTTTCCCATTGTCTATGGCAGAGTAGGGTGGCTGTGACAAGGGGCCACCTGGCCCTCAAGTTTCTTCCTGACTCCAGACAGAGAGTCTGCAGAGCCCTGGGTAACAGCTCCCCAAACTGCCTTCTACTCAGTCTTCACTCTGCCCCCAGGGGCCTGTGCAAGGGGCTGGCTGGATCCCCAGCCACCGCTGCACCCTGCCCCACTCCTCTCCAAATATCTAGCAGTTCAAGAATGGCCATGTGATGATCTGCTGTTGTGTAGCACCGTGCCCAGCTAGTCTTCCAACTTTTCTTTAAAGTGAAATGAAATTGGTCATGGTAGTGCATGCCTATAATCCCAGTTTTGGGAGACTAAGGCAGGAGGATTGCAAGTTGAGAACATAAAGCAACTTAGAGAGACAGTGTCTCAAAATAAAAGGTAGAAAAAGCTGGGGATGTAGCCGAGTGGTAGAACTCTCCTGGGTTTAATCTCCAGTATTTAAATAAAGTGATATCAAAATTGGCTGGGGTGTACCTCAGTGGTAGAGTATGTGCTTAGCATGTGCAAGGCCCTATGATCAACCCCAGCACCAAAATAATAAACTTTTTAAAAAATTCAAAAAAGTTATTACCTTCAAAGAAGAGAAGTCAGCAGCCCAGTGTGGGGCTGGAAGGCTGGAAGTAACAAGATGTGAGCGGTATTGTCCTTTGCCCTTACTGGAAAATAACTCCCAGACCCCCTGTTCCTAACAGATGAGACAGTGATTTCTCTTTACAGTGGGTTTTTTAAAAAGTATTTAGTTTTTAGCTATAGGTGGACACAATATATTTTATTTTTATGTGGTGCTGAGGATTGAACCCAGTGCCTCAATGCATGCGAGGCGAGTGCTGCACCTCTGAACCACAACCCCATACCCCTTTAGAGCACATTTTTAAAAATAATGGCAGGATTTACCACTGCTATGAGTAAGGAAGGGGAGCTGGCCCTGTGGATGGGCCCCCATTTTGCCCTGGTCTTTCCCTGACTCTCCACTTAGCTTATCAGAGCACTGGCCCAGCCCGCATCCCAGGGTCCCACAAGGTGGTCCTCCTGAAAATCCAGGCCTCAGCAGGCAGGGGTGTCTGCTGGGACTCAGGCCTCCACACATCTGGAGTTCTGTTGCAGAGTGGCCCTACAACTCTCCAAATCTGCTGCACCCTTCCAGTGCCACACTTCCCAGAGGAGTCAAGACTTAAACACAAAAACCCAAACCAGAAACCTCAGAGAGTATCTTATAAAATCATCTTGGAGTGGAGCCTTTCCAAGCATGACAATAACAACCAACAGCAAAACAAACTAGTTAGAGGTAGAAAACAAAGATCAGACTGAAAGTGATTAATAGGAATGCCAACATTTTACATTTTTGTGGGGGAAAAACAAACATACTACCAAGTCAAAAGACAAACAACCAATGCAGGGATGGGGGTGGCCGTGACAGAACAAGTGAAGCCCAGTCCCTTACCACACAAGGAAACTACCAGGAATCTGGCAAAGGGCAGGCAGGACCTCAGAGTCCCAGAGAGGAAGTGGAGAAGAGGCCATCAGCCTCCCTCCTAGAGATACAAATCAAAAGAAGCACAAGCTGTCTGTGCTCTCAGAGGGCAAAGATCAGGATGCTGGAGGCTACACTGAGCTGTCTCAGCACCTCCAAGTGGCCTTGAGGACACCTGTAATCCCAGTGGCTGGGGAGGCTGATAGGAAGATGGCAAGTTCAAAGCCAGCCTTAGCAAAGCAACTCGGTGAGACCCTGTCTCTAAATAAAATACAAAATAGTGCTGGGGATGAGGCTCAGTGGGCAAGTACCCCTGAGTTCAATCCTCAGTAAAAGTGGTCTTGACCTTTTCACATTAACCAGGGAGATCACTGACCTGTGAACCCAGCAACCAATAGAAACCCAACAGAAACAACACAGCCTCACCCTTTCTTCCCAGCCATCTGCATCTCTTCCAATTCAGTTTCACAAGATTGCTCACAATTTTCTTGTGAATTAAGCTGAGAGACAAATCCAACCTATCAGTTTCTTACCTAATTCGTGATTGTTACTGGTAGAAATGGAAAAAAAATTTTTTTTTCTTTGCTAACAAACTGCACATGGTAAATATTTTTACCAAAACTGGTTTAAACCTCAAAAGACTTTTTAGCTGCTAAATTTTTATGTTAAAAAAGTTTTGAGGGCTGGGGATGTGGCTCAAGCGGTAGCACGCTTGCCTGGCGTGCGTGCGGCCCGGGTTCGATCCTCATCACCACATACCAACAAAGATGTTGTGTCTGCCGAAAACTAAAAAATAAAATATTAAAAATTCTCTTTAAAAAAAAAAAAGTTTTGAGAGGCTTAGGTTGTGGCTTAGTGGGAGAGTGTTTGCCTTGCACATTTGAGGCACTGGGTTCCATCCTCGGCACCACATAAAAATATGTAAACAAAACAAAGATATATAAAGAAATGAACATTGGGCTTTAAAAAAAAAAAAAAAGTTTTGAGCTGGACACAATGGCTTACACCACATGGGTGTAATCCCAGCAGCTCCAGAAGCTGAGGCAGGAGGATCATTAGTTCAAAGCCAGCCTCAGCAACTCAGTGAGACCCTGTCTAATATTTTTAAAAAGGGGTGGGGATGTGGCTCGGTAGTTAAGTGCCCCTGGGTTCAATCCCAGTACCAGGAAAAAAAAAAAATTCTTGAGCTAGGTAGAAATAATGTAGAAAGTTGGAAATAGCAGAAGATATTACTGGTAAAATTTGGTATAATCAAAACCTGGTGATTTAGATACTTGTTATAAAGTCTTAGGGAAAGTGGGGAGTTGTCTAATGGATAGTTTCAGTGGGAAGATTTAAAATATTTATTTTTTAGTTGTAGGTGGACACACATATCTTTATTTCATTGTTTTACACAGTGCTGAGGATCGAACCCAGTCTAGGCGAGCATTCTCCCACTGAGCCACAACCCCAGCCCCCCTTTTTAATTCTTTTTTTTTTTAAATATTTTTTAGTTTTAGGTGGACACAATATCTTTATTTTTATGTGGTGTTGAGAATCGAACTCAGTGCCTCACGCATGCTAGGCAAGCGCGCTAACACTTGAGCCACATCCCCAGCCCCCCGTTTTTAATTCTTATTTTTTTTTTAAAGAGAGAGGAAATTTTTTTTAATATTTATTTTTCAGTTTTCGGTGTACACAACATCTTTTATTTTTTTTAATTTTAATTTTTTAGTTCTCGGCGGACACAACATCTTTGTTGGTATGTGGTGCTGAGGATCGAACCCGGGCTGCACGCATGCCAGGCGAGCGCGCTACCGCTTAAGCCACATCCCCAGCCCCAACATCTTTATTTTTATGTGGTGCTGAGGATCAACCAGAGCTCCGCACATGCCAGGCAAGCGCATTACTGCTTGAGCCACATCCCCAGCCCCTTTAATTCTTATTTTGAGACAGGGTCTTGCTGAGTTGTCTCAGTCTCTGAGTGGCTGGGATTACAAATATCACCACCCCAGCAATAACAATACAGTATTTTTGAAATCTTAGGGAAAGGATCTCAGCATCTTAAGTTTTCAATAAAATGAAAATTTACATTGAAAAAAGGTTGGAACTTGTTTATGCTAAATAGAAAACGAATCACAAAAACACAATGGCCTGATGGAGAAGACACCAGAAGATAATGTTTCCTTCCTTTTTTTGGTGGTACTGGGGATTAAGCACAGGGCTTTCTGCCTGCTAGGCAAGTGCTCTCCCACTGAGCAGCTCTTCTTTTTTCTCTGAGATGGAGTCATGCTGTTGCCCAGTGTTATAGTTTGCATCTGAAATGTCTTCCAAAGTCTCATGTGTTGCAATGCAGCAATGTCCAGAGGTCGAGCGTTTGTAGAACTGATTAGATCAAGAGGCCTTTGATCTCACTAATGGGCTAAGCCACTGAGGCATCATAACTGAATGGACTGCAAGGTGATGGAAACTTGAGAGGTGGACCCTCACTGCAGAAAGGAGGTCCCCAGCCCAAGAAAGTAAGCATCCTTGCTCTGCCACACCCTTCCACCATGATGTTCTGCTCGGACACAGGCCCAGAAACAATGGAAGTGGCCGATAATGGACGAAACCATAAGCCAAAAAAAAAAAAAACCAAACTTTCCTTCATTGAGTTTTCCTCAAATATTCTGTCACAACAACAAAAAGCTGACGAACACACAGGCTGGCCTTGACCTCCTGGGCTCAAGTAAGCCTCCTCTCAGCCTCCCAAGCAGCTGGGACTATAGGTGCATGCCATCACAGCTGGCTGCTAGATAATAGTTTTCAATGAATATCATCAATATTGGTGGAACTCAGATCCTTGGGGTATCCTAGGTAGGTTCCGTACCCACAGAGACAAAACCACAAATCAAACCATGTTCCCCCAATGACTGAGATGTTTGTGGTAGGGTAGGTTGGCTATGTACACATGTTCTCTGGGGGATCTCACTAGTAGGCACATATCCTACAGACAGAGCTTCACAGGAGCATGTGCCTGTTGGTTACTGTACAGTTCACAGTGGCAAAAAGAATTGAAGCTACCCAGTGGGAAAGTAGGAAAGATCAGGGTATACCATACAGAATACCATGTAGATACAACGGAAGTGTAAGGTCTCTGCGTGATATGCTGCCAGTTGAGAAGGAAGGGCATCAAACAGGGTGTGGGGATGGTCCCATTTGTCTGCTTTTTAAAAAGGGTTTATAGACACACATGCACCTGGAAGGGCATTTAAGAAATTGCTAAAAAGCTTCCCTCTGAAGAGTACAGCTAAGGGAAGACTTCACTGGACCTTTATTTTTTGCTTTTACAATGCGGATGTGTAAACTTTGTAATACAGGAGAAAAGTGTTCATAAAATGTTTGGATGACTATGATAAGTGAAGTGATGTCTAACACAACCACCTCAAGACTGGTTTGATCAGAACTTGAATTTGTTGTCAACTACTTGAAAACCCAGAGTTCACATGGACATGCAAATTTTTTCTTGAAAATCCATAGCCCACGTGGCTGGGACTGGGTGGTGTACCCTTCAGGAGGCAGGCACTCTGCCTTTGCCTCGACAAAACTCTCCACCTTTATAGTCCCACTCCTGTAGGTGTTTAAGATCCAGAAAAGGCTGAAGGGCCTGCAGAGCCAGAACAAAGTGAGGGGCTTGAACTTCTTTCAGACATGGTGTTGGGGAAGCAAGAAATGCAAGCACAAGTCACCACCTGTGTCACTGGCCAGAGGAATCTCAGGAAACTCAGTCAAGTTGTGCAAACCAAAATAAAAACTTGAGTTAGGCCTTCCAGGTCACGCAGTTATTGCCTTATCATAGTGGATGGTAACAGCACTGCCTTATGCCCCTTAAAAAGCCCCCTGACCCAGTTGTTTGACCAGAGCCCTGCGCCTACCCACCGTCTATGAGACAGGCTTGCCCATATCCCAGCAGCAGGGGACTGATCTAGGAGAGTCGTCGCCCAACACAAGAGCCAGTGCATTTGCTCATAAAGCCAACAGGGACATTTGCCCTGGGCCGTGACGCTGAATGCTCAGCGGGCTGCTTCCTGCAAGTGGCTGCTTTGGAGAAGTCACTGCAGACACAGAGGGTGGCCCGGTATGAACGGACCCCCGGCAAGGGGGGTGGGCTGGAAGGTGCAGCACCTGCTTCAGGCCAAGCCAGCAGCCACACCAGGGCGCTGTGGCCCTGCTCTGGGCCTGGCCTCGTGGGCAACGGGAGTGCCTGCGCCCCTGGACTTCTCTCTGAGCCACTGACTTCTGCGGTCCTGCCTCCGAGACGGCCCCGGGTCTACCTCTGTCTCCACAGGGTCCTCCCCGACCGCGGCCGCCCGCCTGCATTTCAGGAAGGGCTCTGAAGGCAGCCTGGTCCCCACGTTTGGGAGGCACGTCAGGGTGCCGGGCCTCCGGGTGTGCGCCGCACGGCAGCGGCGAGGACCTACGGCGAGCCGGCAGGGTGTCAAGGCTCACCCGGAGGCGCCGGTCACCACCTGCACCCGCAACCCGGCCTCCGCCCATCCTCAGCTCCAGCAAGGCCTCGGGCAGGGATCCTAGGCCGGGCGTTCCCGACATGCCCCGCGCCTCCCATTCCCACAAGGCCACGGGCGAGGATTCGGGGGCGGGGCGTTCCCGGCTTGCCCTGCGCCTCCCACTCCCACAAGGCCGCGGGCAAGGACTGGGGGCGGGGATTTCCCGGCATGCCCCGCGTAGCGCCGCTACCCGCGGGATTTGAATCGCGCAAGCAGGCGGCGCCGGCGCCATGGGGGCTCAGTTCTTGCCACCGACCTGGCAGCTCTATCTCAAGGACCACCGCGTCTCCACGTTCAAGAACTGGCCCTTCCTGGAGGGCTGCGCCTGCACCCCGGAGCGGGTAAGACCCCCGGCCTCCCGGCCGCCAGCCCGGCTCGCCCCGCCGCGTCCCTAGCCAGGCCTGTCTGTCCTGGGGCCCCGGAACGACCCCTCCCGGGGACTGTCGGCCCTACCCGAGCCTGGGTGCGACCTCGTATCCGCTCTCGAGCTGTCCCTGTTCTTGCAGATGGCCGAGGCCGGCTTCATCCATTGCCCCACTGACAACGAGCCCGACTTGGCCAAGTGTTTCTTCTGCTTCAAGGAGCTGGAAGGCTGGGAGCCAAGTGACAACCCTTTGTGAGTCCCTCCAGACGAGCCTCGATGTGGGGGGTGGGGTCTGAGATGCCCAGTTCCATCAGGACGCTTTGATTTGAATTGGGATCCTCCAAAACGGATTGGATAGAGCTGAGACTGTTAGTGCAGGAGCGATGGCCTTCCCAGCTTCATTTTGGCTTTAAACAGCTGTGTGAACGGTTTCGACTCTGTCTGCTGACACCTTGGTGATACAAACCCTAACCAAGTCTTGTTTGACCGAAACGTTCTTTAGGGTGGATGTTGAAGGAAATTGGTATAGGTTGCTTCATGCCTTCCAGGTTCAGCAGAACACAGGATTTGTTTCTGCCCTGAGTACTCCCAGGAATCTCCAAATGCTTTTATTACTTGGGATTTTTTTTTAAAAAATAGCTTTATAATCCACATACCACAAAAGACACCTTTTAAAAATTACACTTCAGTGTTTAGGAATTTGTTCTTCAAGACATTGTTATTTTTTTTAATATTTATTTTAGTTGTAAATGGACCTTTATTTATATGCGGTACTGAGACTTGAACCCAGGGCCTCACACATGCTAGGCAAGTGCTCTACCTTTGAGCCACAATCCCAGCCCCAAGACACTTATTTTTAAAAAACTTGTGTAAATATATGTGCCATATTTTTCAGGATTGTTTGTTTGCCATGCTGGGCATCAAACCCCAGGCCTTGTGTATGATAGGCATAGACTCTACTGCTGAGCTCTGTCCCCAGCCCTGGGTAATGTCTTTCCATGTTCTTTTCTCACATCTTCTTGTCAGGATCGATTGTTTCCACAACCTGAATTTTCTTCCCCAGAGAATTACTTGAGTTGTTTCTCTTCTGGGCAGAAGGGTGTTGCTGTTTTTTTCCTATTTCATTCTCTATTGTGTCCAAGCATTGAATGAAGTAGGCTAGTGGTGGTCACACTAGGGATCAGTGGGAAACAGCAGCATTATTCTTTTCTTTTCCTTTTTTTTGGGGGGGGGGCGGGGGTTTGCAGTGCTGTGGATTGAGCCCAGAATCTTGGCCATGCAAGCAAAACACTCTACAAATGAGCCACACACCCCCACACCAACCCAAAATAACTAACTGTAGTGCCCCATCCCTGAAAAGCATTATTCTTTTTTGGGGGGGGCACCAGGGATTGAACCTGGGCACTTAACCACTAAGCCACATCCCCAGCCCTATTTTGTATTTTATTTAGAGACAGGATCTCACTGAGTTGCTTAGTGCCTTACCTTTGCTGAGGCTGACTTTGAACTTGTGATCCTCCTGCCTTAGCAGGGATTAGAGGCGTGCACCACTGTGCCTGACCCAGAATAGCATTATTCTTGAGAGGGGATTTCTAAGTGTTGTGATATTTTCACATTATGGTTACTGTTGACTGTCCTTTTGGAATCTGTGTGGCTGTGTTCACCTAATCCTAAGCTGGCTACAGTGATTTCCACTTTCCAGGGATATTCCCATTGCAGAGAATGAAGGTGTGAGTAGAGGAGTCCCCCTGGGAAGTTTGGCTAATGCAACCCCTATCCTGAACTGGTGGACTGTGTAAACATTTCTGTGAAATGAATTTACTTCCAGAAGTACCTTGAGAATTTCAGAGGGTTTTGACATATAATTCCTATGGACAGAAACTATACAACACTTTTCCTACTAATTGTAAAGAATTCCAGATAAAATCCTCTAGCCACAAGGATGTGGGGCAGACCTCCACAGAGAGAGAAAAGGCAGTAAGCGAGCTGTGTGGTATGTGCCTGGGATGGCACTGGGCCCATCAGCTTTGGGCCCAACCCTTTGCTCTTGAAGCAGAGCAGGGCACATCCTAAGAGATGGCCGGTGGTGATGGGAAATGCTGTTGGTCACGAGGCATTGTTATTTGGTTGACATGCTTCTGTATTGACTTTTCTAGAGAGGAACATAAAAAGCATTCGTCTGGGTGTGCGTTCCTTTCTGTCAAGAAGAAGGTTGAAGAATTAACCCTTGGTGAATTTTTGAAACTGGACAAAGAGCGAGCCAAGAACAAAATTGTATGTATTGTTGGGAAAAGAACTGTTCAGCATTTGTAGGATTAAAGCAACCAGGTCCTCAGGAGCGTTAGAGGGACCCTCTTCCTCTGGAGGCTGTCCTGGAGTGTGGATCTGGGGTTGTACTGTAGAAAAGGTATGTTCCTTGTGTGCTCCTGAGTGGGTTAAGATTGCCTTTCTGGGGCTGGGGATGTGGCTCAAGCATAGCGCTCTCGCCTGGCATGCGTGCGGCCCGGGTTCGATCCTCATCACCACATACAAAGAAAGATGTGTGTCCACCGAAAACTGAAAAATAAATACTAAAAAAAAATCTCTCTCTCTCTCTCTTTAAAAAAAAATATTTAAAAAAAAGATGTTGTGTCCGCCAAGAACTGAAAAATAAATATTAAAAAAAAAATTCTCTCTCTTTAAAAAAAAAAAAACATTGACTGCGGCATTACAGTCAATTATTTAAAAAAGACTGCCTTCCTGCCTGATAACAGCCGCTGTGGGTAGTCCTTCATGTGGCTGTGTGCCCATGTGGTGGCAGGGGTATAGACAGGTTTCTGGGACTCATGGTGAATGTACAGGAGGAGGTGACAGTTCAGCTAGATGGAGAGGATTTCTACAGCTGAGCTTTGCCACTTAGGCACACACACAGGGACATCTTGAGTTCACAAAGAGGTGGCTTCTAGCATCCCAAGGTGTGGAGAATTTGATTTGCCAGAAACCAGGATTCCTAGTTAAATCTGAATTTCAGATAAACAAGGAATAATTTTTGAGTATAAGAATATCCTACATTTGGGTCAGCATTTACTAAAAATTATTATCTGAAGTTCAAATCTAACCAGGCAGCCTGTTTTTTTATATGCTGAATTTGGCAGTCCTATAGAGGATAAGTTTGGAGGGAGATTTACTATCCTTGCAGCAAAGTGCTGTCTGTGGTCTGGGAGTGTCTCTGCTGTGTCTACTGCCCAAAGACTTTGAATTTTAGCCAGTCCTGTTCCCATACCCTGCTGCAGGACTGAGATGAGGCCCCTCTACCTGTGATCTCTTTTTAGCTTGAAAATCATCTGGGTTTTGTGAGTGTGTGTGTGTGGTGTGGGGGATGAATCCAAAGCTGTGCACGGGCAGAGAGCAGGATGAAATGATTCCGTCCCATGTAATAGCTTTGACATGCTGAGGGCGGCAGCAGTTCTGACCTCAGGAAGAGGGAGGAAACCAGTGGTTGGCAAAACACTGATGCACTAGGCCTGGAGAACTGCAGGCTGGGTTGGAGGTAGGCTTAAGAGGCGCTCCTGGTCAGGGGCCAGCTTCCTTTCTGCAAAGTGACCATAGGTAGTAAGTGCCATCCTTCATGGCCACACATACATATTGTGACTCATATTGTTTTTGTTTTTTCCCCAACCATTTAAAAATGTAAAAATAATTCTTAGCTCACGATGGGCTGACTGGACAGGCCTGCAGTCCTTGCTGTGCTGACCACTGTGGGTTCAAGACCAGCTTGTATTTAGGGACAGTTGGGGAGGACAAGGGGGCTCAGCTTGTCATAAGAATAAAATTATCTATCAATCTATTCATACTTTCCCTTGTTGGTTTATAAAACAAAAATATAATAGGAATTTTTTTGTGTAAGCCAAGTGGCACACAACTATATTGCTGTGAGGTTCTGGAACTGTGCTGTCTGATACTGTACCCTCTAGCCACCTGTGGCTGTTAGACTTAGATTTAAAGTACAGTTCCTCAGTTGCACTTACCATTTGGGGCTCAGGAGAGTGGGGGTGTGACTCAGTGGCAAAACCTGTGTTTGGCAAGAGCGAGACCCTGGGTTCAGTCCCCATCACCACACACACAAAAAAAGATGGTGGAGGACTTGGCTGATACATGTGCCCAGTGGACAATGTGGGTAATAGAACCGTTTTTGTCACTGCAGAAAGTTCTATTGGATGGGGCTACTGCAGAGTGTCAGTTATGAGGTTTTTGCAAATAATTTATAGTTAATCCAAAGCCTGCTGTGCCTGCACACTCCTGTGTGAAGGGAAGGGGCTGGGTGGGAGCTGCAGTGCAGGGGATGGGCGTGATCAGTGGTCTGTTTTTTGCAGATCACCAGGCATCCCCCCTTTGGGTCCTGTCACTTGTGGAGGTACAGTGGCGTAGAAGGGAGGTTGAGAGTATGGTCCTAAACTGCTTATAGCTCATCACATGACTACAGTTCATAACTGAAGACAGCAGTGTTTTATCAGGCATCCTTTGAAAAAAAAAAAAAACATAGGAACTGGGGGTGCAGCTGAGCCATAGAGCACTTGCCTAGTGTGTGCACAGTCTTGGATTCATCCCCAGCACCACACACACACACACACACAAAAAAAAAACAACATAATGGTGTGTGGCAAGAGTGAGACCCTGGGTTCAGTCCCCATCACCACACACACAAAAAAAGATGATGGATGGGTGAGGGGCTGGGGCTGTAGCTCAGTGGTAGAGCCCTTGCCTTGCACGTGTGAGGTACTGGGTTTGATCTTCAGCCTCACAAAAATGAAGATGTTGTACCAACTACAACTAAAAAAAAAATAAAAAATAAATTTTTTTAAAAAATGGAGATAGGAGAAGATGCTGGGAATTTCTGAGGTCCCAGATTCAGGGTGAGGTTGCTGTTCTGGGCTTCCCAGGGTGTCAGCAGGTGCCCTGGAGGCAGAAAGCCAAGCCTACCCTGCCTGGAATGTTCAGCAGATAATCTGTCCTGGGGGATAAATTTGAATGTGAACGTGTAGAGCAACCCCGAAGGTTAGAAGAAGGTAGACAGACTCTTCCTTCTTTGCAAGACCTTGAGCTTGTAAAAACCTGGGCTGAGGAAAGTGTTTTGTTTTCCTTCGGTACTGGGCATTGAACTCGGGCATTTGACCACTGAGCCATATTCCTAGCCCAATTTTGTATTTTATTTAGAGACAGGGTCTCACTGAGTTGCTTAGCACCTCACTTTCACTGAGGCTGGCTTTGAACTCGCAATCCTCCTGTCTCTGCCTCTCGAGCCACTAGGATTGCAGGCGTGGCCACGGCACCTAGCAAGGATAAAGTGAAGCACTAAAAGAAGGGGCACAGAGTTCTAGCCCTGAGAAGTATTGTTTTCCAGTAGTCAATTTCTCGTTTTTCTTCACTCCTCCCTTTATTTTAAAAAAAGGTATAAAATAAGGCTGGGGTTGTGGCTCAGTGGTGGAATGCTCACCTAGCATGCATGAGGCACTGGGTTCAATCCTCAACACCACATAAATGTATAATAAAGATATTGGTCCACCTAAAACTAAAAAATAAATATTAAAAAAAAAAAAGGTATAAAGTGGGTATGGAGGTGGATGTCTGAAATCCCAGCCACTTGGGAGGATGACAACTTGACAAGACCCTGTCTCAAAATTTTAAAAACTATTTAAAAGGGCTGGAGACATAGCTCAGTGGTAGGGCACTTGCTTAGCATGCGGGAGGCCCTGGGTTCCATCCCCAGCTCTGCAAAGAGGAAAAAAAAGCATAAACATAAAATGCGGATAATGACCTCCCCGTGGTGGCGGTTAAGTTACAGCTGTACAGAAGGGCTTGATTATTTTTAGGATTGGTTGCGGGGCAGCAAATAAACCATGTTTTTAAGGCCATGGTCACATTTGCATATCAGTAAAGGTGAGGCTCTTGGGGCTGTGTAGCTGTCCATTATAAGGTGGACAGGCCATTGTGTGTTTGATGCTTTTGTTTTTCTTGTCAGTGTATTTATTTTTGTGTTTATCATGGTTTGAACTCAGGGGCTTGTGTGTGCTGGGCAAGTACTACACCACTAATCTGCATTCCCAGCTCTTTTTTTTTTAAGGGGTACATGAGAAGAGGGGAATCTTTTATTTATTTATTTTTTGAATATATATATATTTTTAGTTGGACATAATGCCTCTATTTATTTATTTTTATGTGGTGTTGAGGATCGAACCCCAGGGCCTCGCGTGTGCTAGGCAAGGGCTCCAGTGCTGAGCCACAACCCCAGCCCCCACCCCAGCTCTTTCAATCTGGTTTTGTTTTACTTTATTTATTTATTTATAATACTGGGAATTAAATAAGGGAGCATTCTACCTTTGAGCTGTATTCCCAGCCCTTTTAAATTTTTGTTTGTTTACATTTTGGTACTGAGGATTGAACCCAAGAGCACTTTTTTTACTGAGCTACATCCCTGGCCCTTTTTGGATTCCGGGGTGTGTAGGCCCTTGCTAAGTTACCCAGGTTGGCCTCCAGCTTGTTATCTCCAGCCGTGGCCGCAGGAGCAGCTGGGATTACAAGTGTGTATCACTGAGCCTAGCGCAAAATTTTTAAGTAATTTTTCTTTTAATTAATAATTTTATACTGAGAAGGACTTATACATGAGACAAAGTTTAATATACATTAAAAAGTACATATTAAAAAGTTACTTTGGGGCTGGGTGATAGAGCACTGGCTTAGCAAGGCCCTGATTTCCATCCCCAGCACTGGAGAAAAAAGTCAACCTAAAGTTAACTCTAAAAAAAGTTGACCTTTAGTCACTTTTCTTATTCAAAAACAAGTTTAATCCAATAAAGATCTTTTGGTTTTGATATAGCAGAGAAATTAAGGAGAACACAAAACAGGCGAGGGGAAGGGGTCCCCAAACCTGGTACTGTGGTTGCCATTCGCCCCTTCAGAGACAGCAGTGTTGGCAGAATAGGAGGTCTGAAGCCAGGTTTGAGGAGGGACTGCCGGTGAAAGGCTTTCCTTCTGGGGGTAAACTGGTGTTGACAGGGTCTGTTGTGGGAGCGGGCCAGGAGGCTCTGGACTCTGCCTGAGGCGTTGAGAAGCTGAGTGGAGGCCGGGCCTGGGGCTCAGAGGCAGAGCGCTTGCCTAGCGTGCATGGGGCACTGAGTTCGATTCTCAGCCCTGCATATAGATAAATACATAAAAATAGAGAAGCTGGAGGATGGTGTCTGGGATAGAGCTCTGCCCAGGCTGGCCGGGTGGCCTCCACCTGCTTCCTTTCACAACAGATGTGATGGTCCCTGCTGCACTGGAGGACGGGAGGTATAAGCGACAAAGCAGTTCAGTGGCAAGCAGGTGGAAGGGTGCCTTGGTGCTTGCTGTTATAGACCCCATAGGAAGTGGCCTGAATCAGAGTCGGGGAGTTGAATCTGGATGCTGGTCCCCATGTGGTCTCCCCTGGGTGTCTCCCGGAGCAGGAGCCCAGTGCTGGTGGTGCTCGGTCAGAGTTCCCTTTCTGACCTTATCCACGGGTTGATTGAGAAGTGTTAGGTTCCTATGAATGTGTCATTTCTCGCTTGCTCCCTTTTGTTTTTTTGTGATCCTGGGGCTAAACCCAGGAACTTGCAGGAAGAAAGCAAGTGCTCTACTGCTGAGCCCCAGCCCCCACTTGAGTGTATCTATTCTTTATTTCTAGGCAAAGGAAACCAACAGCAAGCAGAAAGAATTTGAAGAAACTGCCAGGAAAGTCCGGCAAGCTATGGAGCAGCTGGCTGCCTTAGAGTGAACCTTGCTGTGGTCACCTGGTCCCAGGGTAACACGTCTTTCCCCAGGCCTGGTCCCCCCGTGTTACTGCCTTTCTGTGGAACTCCTAGAAGTACCTTAGGAAAGGAGAATGCCAAAATTTTGAAATTGGACGTTTGGACTGAGTTTTGTTTCTCCTGAAGTGGCATCAGCGCCTCTCTGCCTGTGTGGCGGTGCTGCCTGTGACAGCAGCTGTGCCTCTCCCTCGTAGGTGGCTCTTGCTCTGTTGAGCCCTGGCTTGGAGGCGAGAGCCGGGAGGAAGAGGGCAGTATCCTTGTGACTAGACCTGATGGGCAGCGGAGGAGGGTACATGCCTGCACAGGAGTTGCTGATCTTGGTGTTCCCAATAACCTGTGAGCCGCTGGCTGCCCGTAACTCACCTGTCTTTCTGATGTGACTCCTCCTACAGGGTGATGGAATAAATTAATTTTTAAAGATGATTTAAAAACTTCTCTCAAGGAAACTGGTTATGTTTGTTTTTAAATAAGTAGCTTGTTTATATTTTTTATTGTAAGAGTCTGGCGAACGACGAAGGAAGAGACCACCAAGAGACTGACTCATGCAATAGCAAAAGGGGGTTTATTGAGGATCCAGTGCGCTGGGGCTCCATGCTCACTCAAGAAGGGAGAGCGGCCAAGAGCCCCGAGCAGGGGTTGAGCAGTGCTGAAGTACACTTCTTTAGGGAGGGCTGTAAGGGTCCAGCGGAGCATCGGAGAAAGAGACCACACAAGAGACTGACTTCATGCAATTGGCAAGGGGGATTTATTGGGGATCCATTCCAGCGCGCTGGGGCTCCGTGCTCACTCAGGAAGGGAGAGCAGCCCAGAGCCCAGAGCAGAGGTCAAGCAGAGCTTAAGTACACTTTCTGGAGAGGGCAGTGGGCTTTGCATACATCAGAACAAATCATCATGAGGCAAGGGAAAATTGAACAATAACTCTGAGACAGGATTAGTACATTCATTGGCGGGAACAATCTGGGCAGGGGTGATTGGTCATTCCTAAGCGGGGTACACATTTAAACTGATTGGTTTTAGAGCCTAGATGCTTATATGCCATGCTACCTGGAGCCCTTAGCTATTAAACAACCAGAGAATCAATGGAGAGATTTACTGGGCAGTTCCAGCATTGTCCTAACAGCTACAGAGATTACAGATTCCGGGGGTAGCAGAAGAATTTTAACAATACCTAGTCTTTACTTTTTAGCCCAGGCCTTGCCATTTAGAAGCTTTACAATGCCTAGTCTTTTACACTTTAACTCTAGCTTTTGCAGCTTGGAATCAGCTTAGAAATTTTACCTTTACAGGCAGGGACTTTACATACATCACAGTCCCCTTTAACAAATCACCATACACTGAGGGAAAATCAAACAACAATTCTCAAACATGATTAGTACATTCATTGGCGAGAACAGGTCGGGCTGGAGTGATAGGTCATTAAACAACTAAGTGGTCAGGGGGGATTATTTAATGGGCAGTCCCCGGAATTGTCCTAACAGCTACAGGAATTTCAGGCTTTGAGTGTAGCATAGAAACTTAACAATACCTGGTCCTTTACATTTTAACTCAGGCTTTGCAGCTTAGAAACTTTACAATACCCGGTCCTTTACACTTTAACTTCAATTTCTTTTATCCTTTCATTATGATCTTATAGGGTCATAATTCAGGGACGCTGGAGCTTCAACCCCAGCATGGACTAAGTGGAGTTTAGCGTTTCTGGGGACCCTCCTGGCCTGGCTTGGAGCACTCCACAGTGCTGCCTCCCCGCCGCAGCCAGGCGTCCTGAGCCACAGTTTCTCCTCCATCACACCTGGGCTGCTCCCACCCTTCACTTTTTCTTTTTCCCCATAGATACATGCTTTTTGTTTGGTGAGATAAATTGAGACAAAGCCTCGCTCTTCCTAAAGTTTTACTGTGTATTTCTTTTTTAATTTATTTGAATTATTGTTTCACAGATCAAAAACTACAGTTAAAGGTAAGCCCAAGATGGGTGCAATGGCCCAGGTCTATAATCCCAGCTCCTCAGGAGGCTGAGGCAAGAGGACTGGGCAACGTAGTGAAACTCTGTCTCAAAATAAAAAAATTTAAAAAGCGTTGGTGCCGCAGTCTGGCTGGGCACAAATCACCGAGCCGCCACAAAGCACTTGTATGTTCAAACAGGAAATTTTATTGCCTGAACTCCAACAGCACTCCACGCACACTCCCCGGGAACTCTCCCAAATGCCACCCACACACCAACTCCAAAGTAGCAGGCACCCGCCCTATTACCTGACAGTAAAGGTCTAATATACAATTGAATACACAGCCTGTTTCAATCCAGCATCATCCAGTCACAGCAGTAATAGACAGCTTAACTTAATACCATCATCTTATTGGCTCGCCTCTCAACCATTATTTCTGGCAAAATGCCAGGGGCATTCCACAACGTGCTGTGGCTCTCAGCACGTTGGGGATGGAGCTCAGTGGTGGAACATTTGCCTAGCATGTTTGAGGCCCTGGATTTGATCCTTAGTGTTGTTTTAAAAAATGGAAGCCCAAAGCCATCCTAAGGCCCTGGAGAGACCAGCCTTGAAGAAAAGTGAGACAGACAGGCATGGTAGTGTACACCTATAATCTCAGTCACTCGGGAGGCCAAGGCAGGAGGACTCCAAGTTCAAGGCCAGCCTAGGCAATGAGACCCTGTCTCAAAATAATAAAAGGGATAGGCTGTAGGTCAGTGGTAAAGTGCCTCTAGGTATCAAAGAAAAGGGACAGTAAGACACCATGTCCCTGAGTGTCCCTTTCTAATCCCAAACACCCAGCTAAATTAAGGGGAGAACAAGAGCAAGTCCGGGCTGCAGTGTGTGGATACGTGTTATCTTGAAGGACACGGGCTTTCTCAGGTCTGCTGAGAACAAAGGCAAGGTGGCGGTACCTGTGGACAGCTGCTGCTTAGGATGCTGTCATACAAGGACCAAAGCTGATTAATGGTGTCCCTGCTTCTGCAGACTGACTTCATCTCCTGCCTCTGGTGCTGGGCTTGCACCCTGGGGCACTCCACCACTGAACTATATCCCCAGCCCTTTTTTATTTTTATTTTGAAACAAGGTCTTGCTAACCTGCAGAGACTGGCCTTGAACTTGCCGTCCTTCCTGTTATTGGGATTACAGGTGTGGCCACTGCACCCCAGCCTGTAGAGCCTCTCCCTGTGGTAACTAGTGTGGGTCAGAGCCCTGTGGAGTGAAAAGTGCTCATTTGGGCAGCTATCCCTGGACAAAGCAACGTAAGGGATAGGAGGCGTGACCGTCTGGAGGGGCACCAGACTGCCTGGAAAGCATCTGTCCAGCTGCCACCACTGACCCTCCCTATAAACATTTTTCAGTAAACCTTGTTTCTCATCCCATCTCTGGGTGTCTCCCAGGTGTCTCAGCAACCTATCCCACTGCCTTGCACAACTGCAGTGAATGTTACCCTGGTGAAACCTCTTTAGGTGGGTCTGGAGACGCCAGAGGCTTGTTCTGAAACTGTTGTCCCACGAGACAGCCGAGTGAACCAAGGGCACATGCTGCTATTCCACCAGCAAGAAAGGCCGCAGCCTGAACCTTTTTTTTTTTTTTTTTTTTTTACTTTGAGTCTTTTATTTTGAGTTCTTACAAAAACTGGAACAACAAAACACAGAAGGCATAACCAGAGGAATAGGCTTGGGGTCAGTAGAGACCAAGCGCATGGGCCGGGCACACCCTTGGCCTCACTGGGTCTGTGCAGCCTGAATCTTTTTAAGCTGCTTGGCTTAGTGCTCGGGCCCTGCTGGGCCACTGCCTGTCTGAAGCCTACAGTAAGATGCTGGGTTGGTTTCGCCCTCGTGAAGCTAACCTGCAGGGTGGGTAGCTGCAATCCCACGGGAGACCTGGAGGGCGTCTTGGTTGCCATTCTAACTGCAGACCCTACTGGGCTTTCAAAATATTGTCTGCTTTTTTGTGGTAATTCTTTCTTTGCCAACCAAGCTTCCCTGCCGCAGCAGGGTTGCTGAGGGATGAGGATCCTGGCAGAGGAACGGGCAGCCTGTGCTCTGTAAGAGCCACAGCCCTGCTGGTATGGTCCAGACCCATCCTGAGTGTTCACATGCAGCTACGAGAAAATGGCCCTGAAATTTAGTTATTTCTGCCCATTTCAATAAGAGAGAGGGGTCTGTTTTTCCCTGTAAACTTGGAGAATATTGCAGGGGTTTTTGTTAGGAGAAAAAAAAGCTCCCTTGTCATTCCCTGTTTCTGATATCTGTGCCTGTCTATAAAAGGAGATTTCCATGGGGTCAGTCCTGGCATCTGCGGCTGGTCCCCCGTCCAGCTCACCACACAGCTTCCCTCCGCTGGAAGCTTATTTTCTAAAGAACACTGACCACCAGACTTTAGTGACCACCAATGTCAGCAACTGTCAATAAATCCTCGGGCCCTCAGAGCAGCCGCCTCAACTTCCAGTTGGGTGTTCACTTGGTTTGGAGTTGGTGGTGACTGGGGAGGTGTAAGGAAGCCGTGGGTTGGTGCTGGGCAGGCTGATTCTCAGGTGCCAGGCTGTGGTTCCCACAGGCCCACTGGGCATCAGGACCTCTACTGACTCCGGGGAGTGGAAACTGCAAGGCGCTGTGAAAAATAAAGTGCTGGCCCTCCCGCTGCGGGAGACTGACACGCCAAATGCAGAGGCGAGGCTCAGTGGGATAGCACTTGCCGGCATGTGTGAGGCCCTGGGCTCCATCTGCAGCACAGACAAAACCCGAAGCCCTTGTCCAGGGGTTTGCACCCCCTAAGCACTAGGGCTGGGCTTGAACGCAGGCAGTTCCCCAGAGGTGGCCCTCAAAGCCAGATGATGCTGCCCAGGCTCAGGGGTATGGCTGAGGTCAAATGCCTGGCTCCAGGGGAAGAGGAATGGCTAAAAAGTGTCCCCGTCCACTTTCAGATGGCTTCGATTGTCAGAGTGCTGTGGTTACAGGGAACCAACGCCTGCCTCCCAAGGCTTTGCGGTATGATACTTTATTTTTAAATGAAGGTCTGCAGGAAGTTGCAAAGAGGACTCTGGGGTATCGTTCCCTGCTTGCCCCATAGTAATGACAGGACAGTGTCTGAGCTGAGAAGAGGGCAAGTTGGGCAGCCAGCCTTCTCCAAGCCCCAGGAAGGGCTTCCTGCCTGACTCAGGGCGACTCTCACCCTGAACAGAGCCGAGGACCAGCTAGGCTGGGGGCTTTCTTCCCGCTGGGCTTAGTCCAGTATCTGCATATTTTCTGCTGGATGGGATCAAACCTGGGCCTTGGCCTTCAGAGCTGCTTCCGTAATCCCCAAGTGGTGACATTTATTCATTCGGTCAGTCAAATATTTGTCTGACACCCACTGAATGCCAGGCACCATTCCCAGGAATTGAGGCCAGAAACCTTTCTCCTAACTGGGGCCTACAGGGTTTCTCCTTGTTTTCTGAAGGTGGGAAGAAAAAGGTCTACGAAGCCCTGACTAGGGCGGGTGTGAGCCAGGACTCCAGGCAAGAGTGATTAACTGCCTCCGTGGCATCAGGAAAAGACGTCACTGAGCATTCTGTTGTCCAAGCCTAGTGGGAGGCTGCCCAAGGGACTGGGCAGGGACAGCTGCTGGGGGAAGAAACGGCAAGGGCGCTGGGGCCCTGCAGGTGTGGGGCAAGGGCGCAGCCCCAGGAGCTCTGGCAACAGCCTCCCAGACGAGAGCATTTCAGTAGGAGGAGACCACCCTGCTATCAACTGCCAGTCACGGCCACGTCTCTCAAAGGACCCTGGCCATCCACGGGAAACACAAAGGCAAGTGTCTGCAACCTACTCCCCGTCATGTAAGAACCCTGTAGAATGTTCTGTGTTGATGAGAACAGAGCCTCCGCTCTGCCAGGATGAATGAGCTCAATTTTGCCCTGAGTGGGTGAGGTGACCTGTTGGGGGGGTGATTTACGGAGGTTCATTTTCTGTCGCAGAATGCCTGCCAAGTGCCGCGAAATTGGTCTCTGTAGAGCTGATGCCAGGCTGCTCTGAGGGTAATTAGCCCGTGGTTTCAGCTGCTTCCTCAGTCCTGTGTTGGGGACAGTAGCTGGTCATTCTGGAGCCGGAGGCTTGCCTGCCAGCTGGCCATGGATGGGGCCAGCCCTCCTGCTCCTCCCCACAAAGGCCGGTGGTGCTAGGTAGTTAGATGTGGCCTAGAAGAACAGAAGCTTAGATGCAGCCTCATTTTTGTCATTGAAAAATGGAATGTCCCCGTCATGAGCCTGCTTCTGCCCCTGATTTCAACCATGGTGGTCTGACGCTGGCTTTGGAGAGCTGGGAGAGGCTTGGCATCTGCCAGAGTGGGGTCCAAGCTGAGGGAGGAAAGAGGAAAATGGGAGGTAAGGGTCCTTCTAAAGCAGCTCCTCTTCAGCTGGGCTGTAACTGAGTCCACTTCAAGGGAAGTACACTGGCAGGATTCATCAGGTGGCCCCTCAAGTTTGGGTGCCTGCTGTCCAGGGGACAGTCTAATCCAGCTGCTCGTCTGGGTTTAAACCCAGAACCCAGGTCTGAAAGCAGAGTGTGTGTGGACTGTGACTGGCCACCTCCCAGCCCTGTAGCACGCGGGCGACAGACGTGAGGCTTGGGAACCTCCCTCTGGGTCCCACCCTCCTGGCCCTGACAGCTGCTTCCCTTCTTGCCCAAGCTGTGGTAGGTGCAAGAACAGAAATCCTTTCAAACCTCCTCAGCTCAGGGTCGGAGGCTCACTGGGAGGAGGCCTGAAGAGACAAAACAGTTCCTCTAGCTCCCCCCAATCGGCAATTCACATCCACGCGCGCATGTGCGATGCATAGGTTTTGACTCGGCCAAAGCCACATTGACTTGAACTGTTTTACTGTGACTGCTGGGGAGCCCCGAGTTAGAGCTCTTCACCACTTTTTTCCCTACTGTAATCAGAGTGGATGGAGGGCTTGAAGGAGGCCCTGGAGCAGGAGAGGCTGCCCCACTCCTCTCTCCTCCCCACTCCTGCTTTTGGAGGCTGCAGTGCTCGGAGCACCTGCTAAATTCTCTCATCTTTGGGGTCCAATTGGCTATGGGCTGCCACATGGCTCCAGAGCAGGGCTGCTCCAGCCTGAGGGGCTGTCAGCACAGTGGGCCCCTTGGCTGAGGCAGTGGGTATCAGTCTGGTGGGGTGTGTGGAAGGATGAACAGCCTACACAATCGCAGAACAATCCTACGCCACTCTGAATTCCTTGTGAAATACTGTTTCAATGACTTTGCTGGAATTGCTTTTACTTCCATGTTCATGTTCTACAAACCAGCAGGAGCCTAGTCAGAGAAAAAATGGCCCAAACACTTGGAGTTGAGAGGCCTGGGCTGACCATAAGTCATGCAGCTGCTGCATTCAAGACGAGGCACAGTCACTGAAGATGCCAAACTCAACCTCTCCCCTCTCTGCAAGCCCTGTCCAGCCCAGGGGTAGCCACCCAGGGTAGCCACCCAGGGAAAGCCACCCAATCTGTCCTGCTCTCTCAATAGTGCCAGTGCCCATGCCCGGGTTGGGGGACTCTGTGAGTCCTCTGCCTCCTGTGCCCTCTTTTTGCATGCTTAGTGAGTGGTTGAGTGGAGACTGGCTCGCCAGATGTGTCTGCAGCTAGGAGCCTGTCTGGAGCAAGCTACCCCTGGTACTCACCCTGGCCCCATTCCAACGATCCCATTTGGTTAGTCCTCAGGACTGATCAAGACCAGAACTCCAGGGCCAAGTGGGGCCAGTGCCCAGCTGAGGCATCTTCTTTTCCAGGCTCAGATGTTTCCAAGAACTTTGGGTGAGTAGTCCAGCAGCCCAGGGGCTTCCTGGGACAGGTCTCAGGCTGACCTGCATCCCTCAATTGCGGGGCAGCCGGGTCAAGCAGGCGTATGCCCACTATATTGCCGAAGAACCTGAGTTCAGAAATATGCCCGAGCACTTGTGGCCAGCTCCCCTCCTGGGGACGCTAGGATTTGAATCCAGGTCTGTGGATCCGCTGCATTCTCAGGCTTTGCGACTTCTTCCTCCTTTCCCTTTGGGACAAACTTGGCGACCACAGAAATGTGGCATCAATTTCCTTGCAAAACTGAGGGCACCACGCGGCCAGCGGCACCAGAAAAGCCGTTCCTTGAAAAAGAGCCTCCAGCAGCGCGACGACCCTCCTGCTGAGTGTGCTGCCCCTGCCCCTGCCCGCGCCGGTCCTGCCCTGCTCCGCCCCCTCCACGCCCATCTGCGGCTCTCGACGCCCCCCACTCCGCCTCCACTTCCCCCACTCTCCCAGCCCCTGCCTGCCCTGTTGCCCTCTCCCAGCTTCCCTGCCCCGCCCCGGCCTTCAGACCCCAGCCCCGCTCCCCCCTGGGCTCGCCTCGGCTCCCTCTCCATGGCCCGACTGGCCGCGCTGCTGCTGGCCGCTGCCCTGGGCGCGCTGCTCAGCTTCGCGCTGCTGGCCGCCGCGGTCGCCAGCGACTACTGGTACATCCTGGAGGTGGCGGACGCCGGTGACCGCGCCGGCCGCGCCGAGCGGCTGTCCTCGCACTCGGGGCTCTGGCGCACTTGCGAAGGTAAGCGGTGCCCCCGCCACCCCGCGCCCCTTCCCCTCCGAAGTCCCTTCCCCGGCTCTCCCGTCCTCCCAGACCCGGCTCGCAGAGCAGTCTGCCCCTCAGGGGGTCTCTCAGCCCCCTCCCTGTCCCCCTCAAACTTGTGGTGACAGTTGGGCTGTGGAGAGGAAGGGACTGACTCCTCAGGGACACGGCGGGGCAGGGGGCCAGAGTTGGGAAGAGGAAGAGGGGTTGGCACTGTGCGGCCCCACAAGGACCTCAAGTACCTTCCTCTGGAACCTGCCTTGGCTAGAGATGGGGTGGCACATCATGTGGGAGATTGCAGGTCACCCCAAGGCACGCATGGTCCTTCGGGTCGCTGGGTAATTTGGGACCTGTCCCTATTCAACCTCCAAGTCTTGGAAACTCAGATGGGAGGAAGCTGAGGCCTCCTAGCGAAGGAGGAGGGAGAGCAGGGAGGCTGGCCCCTCCAGCCCCAGCAGCTGCCCCTGCTCTGTGGCTCCTCTGCCAGTGACCCCACGGCCTTCCTGGAGGGGAGGGCTGGGGCGGGGTTGGGATGGGGGCCAGTGTGGGAAGCCTGGGTGTGGGTTGCTGGGGTCTCTGGGTCTAACCCCAAGTGACCAAGAGTTGCTTTTGTAGATGGCCCTCCCAGCCCCGCCTCACCACTCTGGGGCCAGCCTGGGGTGTCATCCCCCACCCCCACCCCCGCCCAGCAGGATGAGCCCTGGGTGGCTGGGGCCTTGGGAGGCTGTGAAGCGTGTGTGTATGAATGTGACAGCACGCATCAGTGTATGAATGTGAGTGTATATGTGAGTGTGAGCTTGTGTGAGCACATGCTAGTATGAGCAGGCACACTGGTATGAAGGTGTGTGAATAGAGAGCTTGCGTGCTGTTTGCCCACGCGTGTGGCTGAGCGAGCACTGTGTGTAGGGGTGTGTGTGTGTGATGAGGAGAAAGGGCTGAGCTGTGGTCATCCTCTTGACTATGGGTGTATGTGCACACATACGTGCTTTATGTGGGTGAGCATGTGTGTGAGTCAGCACCCACAGGACCTGAGGAGTCTGGCCTTGTTTTTTTTTTTTTAGTTGTAGTCGTACACAATATCTTTATTTATTTATTTTTATATGGTGTGGGGGATGGAACCCTGGGCCTTGCCCACGCTAGGCAAGCGCTCTATGGCTGAGCCACAACTCCAGCCCCAAGTCTGGCCTTGTTATTGCAGCATCTCGCAGGAATCTTGCACTGGGCAGTCTGGAGGGGAGTCTGTCCAGATTATTATTATTATTTTTGGTACCAGGAATTCAACTCAGGTGCACTTAACCACTGAGCCACATCCCCAGCACTATTTTTTGTATTTTATTTAGAGACAGGGTCTCACTGACTTGCTTAGGGACTTGCTTTTGCTGAGGCTGGCTTTGAACCTACAATCCTCCTGCTTCAGTCTCCCACTGGGATTACAGGCGTGCACCACCGTGCCCCACTGGAGTGTTATAGATTTAGCAGCTGTGACCTGTTCATTAAAAGAAATTAAATAAGGCTGGGGATATAGCTCAATTGGTAGAGTGCTTACCTAGCATGCATGAGGCCCTGGGTTCCATCTCCAGCACCACATTAAAATAATAATAATAAAATAAAATAAACCAAACAAGGTCTTGGACCTCTAATCCCATTTAGAGTCCCAGCCCCAAGTTCCAAGGGAGAGATTCCAATAGGGCCCCAGGGCCACAGTTTGTCCACATGGCTCTGGGGGCTGCTGGGTGCCCATTGTCCCCAGCTCCTGCTTTGCACTTTGGCTTTCCAGGGCAGAACAGCTGCATACCCCTGATCGACCCCTTCAGCAGCAAGGGCCTGGATGTCTCCCCCTCAGTGCAGCACCTTCTCTGTGAGTCCGGGCAGTGCCATCTCTGCCATCTCCCTGATTCTTTGAGCAGGGCTGGGACAGAAGCCACCCCACCCCAGCCCACCCAGAACTGCTTCCAATGGCCTGCTGTTACCAGGGGACTTTCCCATCCATAGCTCCTCTCTCTGCAGGTGGCTCCTTACATAGGCACAGCTCAGCCTGCTTGGTCTCCCTGTGCCCAGTTCCCTTTCAGTGGTGACTGACACCCCTAGTTGTCGGGGGAAGCAGGTGGCTGTGGCATGACTGGAGCTGGTGAAGCCTGCTAGCTCCCCTTTTTGGACTCTGTTATCTTTCCAGATGGACAGTTGGTCAGCCTGGCACGCATCTCCCACTGGTGGGTTAGCGGGCAAATGTCTGCTGCCCCAGAGAGACCTGAGAGTGGGTGTGGGGAGGGTACTCGGGAGTCTTCCTCACCCTGGCCTCAGGAAGGCTGCACAGGACGACAGGTGACCACTGGGAGGGTCCTGTGGTTGCCATGGAGACAGGCATCAGCTCAACCCACCCCCACCCTGGCCCAAGCTGGTGAAGCAGCATATCACTGTCCTCTGGGCAGGCTGGCCTCCACCTTCCTGGGGGCAGGGTCCCTGTCTGCCTGCCCCTGAGCCCCCTCTCTCACAGCGCTGCACCGAGCTGTCATGGTGGTCCTTCCGTTGAGCCTGATCCTCATTGTGTGCGGCTGGGTCTGCGGTCTGCTCAGCTCCCTGGCCCGGAGTGTCCCTCTTCTGCTACTCACCGGCTGCTACTTCTTGCTGGGGGGTGAGTCCAGGGTTTCTGGGAGAGCCAGCTGGGACTGCAGATGCTGGGAGTGGGACTCTGCCTCCCTGCGCCCTGCCCATCCTGTTCCCCTCTGGGCTACGTGGAGCCTGGGAACCCAGGCCACAGAAGTGCAGCAGAGTCTCTGGCTGGGACCTGTGTGCAGGGCCGACCAGAGTGGAGCTGGGCTGCTGGAGCCTTCTCACACTGACTCCAGGACCTGCTTCCCCGGGACAGGTGGTGCTGGGGCTGTGGGACGCCCCCGCTGCTGTCCTCACACCCAGCCTGTCCCGGTGGGAGGAGTAGGGGAGGGGGCGGGTTCTGACACAGGTGAGGCAAGGCCAGGCACCAGATGGGGTGAGCAAGGGCATCAGGGTCCTTGGCATTCACCCCAACCTGGGCCCAGATTATACTTTAGTAGTGCTGCAGCTGACAGGTGCAGGGCACTGGGCCCAGCACTCCCCCAGGACCCCCAATGCCACCTAAACAGCTAAGAGTCCCGAGGGTCTGAGAGGCCCCAGGATTCTCTAAGATGAGAAGGAAAATGGTCCGCCCCCTTCACTGTTTTTGGTGTTGTCTGCCCCAGCCACCAAACTCCCCTCCTGCTAGGCTGGTTGTCACTGAAGGTGGCTTCTTGGGGTCAGCCCTCAGTGGCCCCTGTCAGATGTGTGTTGGGTCTGGTGTCTTAGGCCAGCTCTACTGTCATGGTGACAAAGACCAGACCATATGAGGCTGGGTCCCCTCCCGGGCAGGCCTGCTTCCCTCCCCCAGGGGATGCTGGACTCTGGTGGACCTTTATCAGGAGCAGGTGGTGGGCCTCGCTTGGAGCTGAGGTTGGGGAATCATCAGCCTCGGTTTTGGCCACAGGACGGCAAGGTCTCCTTGACTTGAGAATAAAATTGGGAATAGTCAAAGTGTCAGCTGTGACCTTGACCAGGGTCAGAGTCTGCAAGGGTCCAAGATCCAATTTAGAGGACCTTGGGAACCCCAGAGAGGAGGAGTTGGCTTGGGACTGTACCCAGGAAGCCTTGTGCCGACAAGAAACCTCTGCGCTGTGCCTGGAACAGGGCGCGGGTGCAGGCCAAGCCCTGGAGGCAGCTCCAGCCTCCCAGGGCGGAGGGTGCGCCACTCCAAGGAGGGGGAGTCCAGAGGGGCAAGGCTGAGGCTGGATGGCTCCACGGACATCCCGTAGCCCCCCTTGCTCAGGGCACTCCAGACTTGCTGCAGGTCTCTTCTGGGAGCCACCCTGAGTCTTGGCGCCAGCTCCTAGCCTGCAGGGCAGAGGGTCAGCTATGGACAGCAGTGCTGGGGCTCTGAGACAGGAATGTGACACCATGGGGACCTCCCTGAGGCCAGCTCACCCCCTGCTACCCCATTAGTGCTGTAAGAAGGGGAGGGCAAGGTGGTATCTGGGAGAGAGGGCCCTGCTGAGTGTCCATCAGTGCTGACCAGGAGAGGGGTGGGGTGGTGAGCTGCCTGCTGGGCTCCGTTGACAGGACCTGTGGACCAGGGGTCCCCTAGGGATACCCTGAGCAGCCACCCTGCCCCTTCTCTCTCCAGGTGCCCTGACCCTGGCGGGGGTCAGCATCTATATCAGCTACTCGCACCTGGCCTTCGAGGAGACTGCCCGCCAGTACGGCCTGCAGCACATGCAGGGCGTCCACATCAGCTTCGGCTGGTCAGTGGCCCTGGCCTGGGGCTCCTGTGCCCTGGAGGCACTCAGTGGCACCCTCCTGTTGGCAGCCGCCCGAACCCTCAGCCTGAGCAGGCTCCCAGGTGCTCCCCACTCTGTGGCCATCTGAGCTGGGGGAGGGGGCAGTACTTGGCATCTCCTGGGAGTCCCGTTCCGCAGGCCTGGCTAGAGCCTGGCCTGGAGCACCCTGGAGGGCACACTGGGAAGCCCTGGGCCAGTCGTGCGGCTTTGCCCTTCAGATACAGATAGGATTTCCTCCTCTTAGAGACAAGGAAGTGTCTGGGCAGAGGAGGCCAGGGCCCCAAGGCACATGGATTCTGGGTGGTACAGGCGGGTGGGGGTACCTTGGGCTCCTGCGTTCTCTGGGGGTGTTCTTGTCTCTTGGGCTATGGCGGCCCTCCTCAGCTACCCACATTCCTAGTGTCTCGATGAGGGGTGGCTTCAGAGTGCACAGGTGTGTGTTAAATAGGAGTACCCCCTGCTCCCTGGCCCTCACAGCCCTGTGCAATGGTCACCTTTCACCCTGTGTTGCTGGGGGAGACCAAGGCCCAGACCACTCAGGAGCCAAGGGCAGGACCCAATGTTCTAGTAGGTTGGTGGGACCCCAGGCCTCTGTTCTGTCCCCATCCTCCAGAGCAGGGTTGGTGGGGAGGAGAGCAAGGACAGGGCGGAGATCCCTTTAGTTTGTAGGCAGACTGGCTCCCACCCCATGTGCCCTGCCCCTCCCTTGTCTTCCCACAGGTGGGTGGCTCTGCACGCACCCAGGTGCGGCATATGCTGCAGGCCATCGCTCCTGCTGGCTCTGACCCTTCCCTTCTGCAGCAACTTGGGGATGCTTGTAACTGCCAAGGGCCCTGGGGCAGCTTGACTGACAGATGTGGAGGTCCCAGAAGGGCAGGGTGGGGATGGGGAACTCTGAGCCATGGTGGGGGCATCTCCACCATGGGGTGCGGTGTGGTGGGGTGAGCTGGAGCTGTGCCTAGCCCGCCCTGTGAGGGACCTGGATGAAGGGGCTCCTCAGCCAGAAGGGCTGGGGCTGCCCAGGTGGCCGGGGCCAGGCCTGGAGTTTGGGCTGCGGACTTATTGAGCAATCAGTAGAGGCTTAGCGGGGTGGGGCCTGCTCACAGGCCCAGGCTGGTCCAAGGACGAGTTGTGAGGACAGGGCCATCCAGCCCCACCTGAGTCGTCTTGGGCCACAGGTAGGGGCAGGCATATTTTTATATAGGTGGACGGTTGGGCAGATGCAGGAAAAGGGGCCCCAGGGAAGGTTCTGGAAGCCCCATCTCCTGTGCAGGGCCTTCCTGAGCTTTGGGCCATGTGCTAGGAAAGATGACACCTTTGGAGGCTTTGACCTCCTCCCCTATTTGTCCTTATTGCTCCTGAGGACGTGGAGCTGGCACAGATTTGGCAGGGCCCACCGAGACAAAGAGCTGGGCAGTCAAGTGGGGCTTCTCTTCCTGCCGTGTTTGAACACTGGCCACTCCCTGTGGGAACACTGTGCCGATCTGTCCTTGAATAAACCAGCTTGTGCTCTGTGCAGACGGAGCTCTGTATTTTTTTTCTTCGAATTTTTCAAAATAGGCCCTATTTGTCCTTGCCTCACAGATGTTGTGAAGGTGAACAAGCACTGTTACCAGTGTGTGCATGACTGTCCATCCAATGATGTCCTGTGTGTCTGCTTGCACAGTTGTCAAACTGTCCAGCCAGAGTCCTGTGTGCACATACATGTGCATGTGTGTGCACATCCAGCCATGTCTCCTGCAGACCAGGGCCTCCTCCTCCCCAGGTCGGCATGGGCTGGAAGGAGCTGGGCCTGCAGCTGGGTCTGGGCAGCTCTCTTACTCAGCAGGAAAGGTTTCTGAGCCCATGTTTGCTGGGAGCTCAGGGTGTGAGTTCAGCCTCAGGCCTCTCTGGTTGCAGACGGGCTTGGGCTCTGGGGCTAGAACTCTAGGAATACCCCCACAGGTGGCTGCAGGGACACCAGATTTGCTTAAGGATGTGCATGTGGCCTGCAGAGTGTGTGGGTGGGCATGGGGCTTAGCCAAGACACTTGAGCCCTCCACTCTGGAGGGCCAGTCTCTGTGGTGATTGGGTTGCACTGTTTCATAGTTCAGTGGCCAAGGTGAGAAGGCAGGTAACTGCCACTGGAGAAGGTCCAGTGGTGCTTCAGGGCTGCTGAGGACAGGTAACCAGTGACAGTCACAGTGCATGTGACTCGGGGCAAGAAGCCAAGGAGGGCAGGAGAGCACACCTCAGTTCCCACAGCCCCGTGCCAGGCCTGACGAGGAAGCCCCCTGGAGCCCCCCTCCTCACACCCAGTGAAGCCCCGCCCCAGCGATGGTCCAGCTCTGCTTCCTTCCTGAGACACTTTCGTCCACTCCATCTTGTAGCTGGCTCTGTTCCTCTGATGCCACTTATGCCCTGACCAGGGCCTGAGCTGGGCGTCTAGAGGCTGCCCTGAGCTCAGACCCACAGGTGTAAGAGCAGCCTCGTAGTGGCGCCAGGGACCCTGGTGCGCCCCAGCCACACTGAGTCAGGGCTGACGGGTGTCACGTGTGAAGTCACAGTGCTCTGTAGCTCCTGCCTCTGTGCTAGCCAGCTTTACATCATTGTGATCACATACGAACAACTTAGAGGAGGAAACGTTTACTTTGGCCACAGTGTCAGAGGTTCCGTCCGTGGTCAGCTGACTCCATTGCTCTGGGCCCGAGCTGAACAGAGCAGAAGGGCAGCAACTGGGGGAGACTGCTCCACTCCTGGCAGCCAACAAGCAGAGGGAGGGAAGGGGCTGCAGGGAGGATGCACCCCTCCAGGGCACGCCCCAGTGAGCCACCTCCTCCAGCTGCCCCATCTGCCTGACAGGTCACGGCTCTCATAATCTAGTCACTTTACCTCTGAACGATCCTGCACTAACCCAGGAGGCCTTGGGTGGCACCTCATATCCAAACCATAACACTCCATCTCTTAGTTGCTGCTGGTGGTGGTGTTGGGGGGCAGCTGTTGTGTTGGGAGGGTGCTCCAGTAGTCCTGAGCAGATGCCACCCACACAGGAACCCAGGACTCCACCAAAGCCAGCTACAATGTGCCAGCCATGTGGGTGAGCCACCAGGGAAGCAGATTTGTCAGATAGTGTGGTCCAGGTGATGTCCCACCTGCAATCTCAGGAGAACATCCAAGACAGGACCCCTTGGCTCAGCTACTTCCCGATTCCTAACCCACAGAAACAGAGAAGTAGTGAATCATTGTTACAGAAGGGGCTTCTGAGTTTGGGGGGATTTGTTGCACGGCAATGGCGAGCTGACGCTCATCCCGGAGCAGGGCAGACGTGCGCTGGCAGGCTGGGTGCTGGCTTTCTGTGATCCTCTGAGTTGCTTGTTCCTCAAGCACCAACGAGCAGTTCTGGGCCCTGGAGAGCCCCGGATGCTGGGTCTCCAGAATGCAGATTTGGATCTGTATGAGGGGTGGCGGGGACGAGGGACAGTCACATGCTCACTGCAGTCTAAGATGTCCACCAGGCTACTGTCTCCAGCATATGGGTCTTTGGCCACCTCCTGAGCACTGTGCCTATGTGTCTGGCAGCTTCCTAGCCACCTCCACTTGGGGTCTTGATTGAGCACTACTATTTTTTTTCTGTGTAAAATGGGTTTATTCATTAGAGATAAGTAAAGGGGGGGACCACAGAAACCCAGGACTTATTACAGCCTGTCCCTCACAGGGGATCAAGGAGGATGGGGTTTCATCTGCACTTACTCCACTCACACCTCAGCTGAGGGACTTGAGAGAGGAGCCCGCACTGGGGTGACATGGGCTACAGTTCCAGAGGCCATCCTGCCTCTGGAGTGGACTAAAGCCTAGCACCAGCTGCTCTGGGTGGCCAGTCCTTGACTCCTGGTGTTGCGTTCTCAGTACATCCTCAGGTTGTTCTTGACAACTTGACAGATACCTTTGTCCTCATTGTTAAGGTCTGTAAACAAGTCAAAATAACACGTGGTATTTTGCCAGAGAAATGTTAGAGTTCGTAAACAAGTCTGGATGGTGCCTGGCAAAATGCCAGAGGGAGTGGTTTGAGAAGTAACAAAAGCGAGCCATTAAGTGTGGAGATTCCTTATTGGTTGACTGCTGTATCTAGTTTATGCTAATTAAGATAAGCTGTGCAAAATGTATAAATAGCTCTGTTGCCCTACAATAAAGGGCTCCTACTCCTGCTGTATCAAGGTACGCAAGTTGTTCGTCACCCCCCTGGTTATTTTGCCCAGCCAGCCGGCCTGTGGCACTCATGAACTCCTGGGTGCAGCACTTTCTAAATCAGCTGCCCAAGGACGATCCTTCAGAGCAATAAGCAACACACAGTGTAGTCGAGGCTTCAATCTCATAGCCCAGGATCTATTTTCTGGGGCATTTTCCCACAAAGAACCTGCAAAGAACACCAGTCCTAAAAACACCCCTACACTGAATTTCTGGCACCTTTATCTTGAACTTTCTAGCCTTCAGAATTTTAAGGAATAGATTTATATTTATAAGCCACCAGTTTATGGCATTTTGTTATAGCAGCCTGAATGGACTAAGACAACTTTAAAATAAAAGTACTGACTCTAGGGAAGGGATCATTTGAAGGTGGTTTTGAGAAACCCACCCCACTGTTTTTCTCTGTGAAAACATTCCCTAGAGAATGGCCTTCCAGGTCGCTATTTCCATTTCAACATGGTGCTAGAATTTGGTGACCAGTTAATTTTTTTTCTTTAAATATATAATTTTGAAAAGGCTGTCCAAATTATTTAAGCAGATCACATTTGGTACCTATTTCATACCTTTTTTTGGTGGTAGACTATTAAGAATAAACCTTAACATAATTTACAAAAAAAATTCACTTTGTGATCAGCTGGTAAGCTGTATGTTTGGCATCTGAACAGCAAACTGGCACTCTGAAGCCAACATCACTACTTGATCTTTCCAAAGCAAGTCTCCTCCTGGGTTCCTGCTAAGAGGAATGTTACAGTTTGTAATGTTACAGTTTGAGTCTCAGGTGTCCCCCAAGATCCAGGTAGTAAAAGCTTCTGTTGCCATAGGTGCAGACAGTCAGGAACTAAGTGCAAAACTGGGCACCAAAATAAACCTCTTCCCCTGATAAGTTGATGACCTCAGGTAACTGTTAGTGATGGGAAGCCAACCACAGATCTCCCTTCTCTCAACACACACACACACAGATCCCAGAGTGAAACATGCACAAATATTAGTGGTAGTCATTCTTGGGTATAATACAAGAAATTTAAATTTTATCCTTTTTATATTGTCAAAAACTCTGTGCTTCCCCCTCTCGTTCTTGGTCAGTTTTACCAGGGTTTTTGATTTGATTACTCTTCACAGAATGACTTTTGGGTCTGTTCATGCAGATAGATTTTTTCCTGTTCTTTCTTTCTCTTCCATGCGTCTCTCTTGAGCTATGTCTTATCTGCTATCCAACCTATCCACTGACTTTTTTTTTTTTTTTTCCTTTCAGGGAGTGAACCCAGGGATGCTTAACCACTGACCCACATCCCCAGCCCTTTTTATCTTCTTATTTTTTTATTTTGAGACAGGTCTCGCTAAGTTCCTGAGGCTGGCCTCAAACTTGCAATCTTCCTGCCTCAGCCTCCCATGTTGCTGGGATTCCAGGCCTGCGCCATCATGCCCGGCTGAGTTATTATATTTTTCAGTTTTAGAGTTTCCATGTAGTCTTATGATTTCAAATTGTCTGTCAAACTTTATGCTTTTGCCTTTCTTAAATATTTTATTTTAGGGGCTGGGGAGGTGGCTCAAGCGGTAGCGCGCTCGCCTAGCATGCGTGCGGCCCGGGTTCGATCCTCAGCAGCACCATATACCAACAAAGATATTGTGTCCGCCGAGAACTAAGAAAAAATAAATAAATGTTAAAAATTCTCTCTCTCTGTCCTTCTCTCTCACTCTCTTTAAAAAAAAAAAAAAATATTTTATTTTAAAGCCTGTGTATAACAAGTCCTTTATTGTGATCCTGTGTCTGTTTCTTTTGTCTGTGTTTTTCTCTTGATTTTCAGTCACATCTTGTCCCATCCCTTGCCTGGTTGTCTCTGACTGAGTGGGGACATCACTGAGAAAACCGGAGGCTCTGGGTGGAGTCACCTTCCCCCAGAGACTGGCCTGTACTTCTCTGCCAGAGGCTCGGGGCCCTTCCACGCCCCACATCAGTCCCAGCCGGGCCCAGGGCCCAGGGGCCCATCCTCAGGGCCCCAATTGCCTCAGCACAAACTCCCACTTCCTCAGTGCCAGCTCAGTGTCCTGGGTGGAGACGTCACGGTGCCACACGGCACGCACAGACTGCTCTGTCCAGGGAAACAGCAGCACGCGCACAGCATGGCCTGTCTGGGCCACCTCGTCCGGGCTCACAGCCTGCAGGCGCTGGCACAGGTCCGCAGCGGGCAGCCCGGCCACCTTCACCAGCACCATGTTGGTCTCCACAGCAGCAGGATCCACAGAGCAGTGGGGCGATGCCAAGGCCTGGAGTCCTGTGCCAGGTCCCACCGTGAGAAAAGCCCCACCCCAGGACCCTGCCACAGCCCTACCCCCCAGTCAGCTGGGGAAGGCGGAGGGGCAAGCAGCTGCCACAGAAGAGCACCAGTCCTGACATGGCCTTGGGGATCACAGGGACCTGTTTACTCATGTGACCTTAGATCAGTGGGCCTCTGGGCCTATTTCCTTATTGCTGAAGTGGGTCACCATGAGGGCTCAGTTAATGGAGGAAAGACCCGAGTTAGAGGCCACTCTGTGATTCTGCAGAGAACCATGATCCCGTCTCCACCGAGCGCTTCCTAGCATCAGGTGCCGCGTGGAGCAGGGCTGGTGAGGCGACTTGGCCTGGGTCCCACCCTAGATACTCAGTGGCAAAATCAGTATCCTGGAGGCTAGGGGGGTGCAGACCTGCTGGGGGCTTGGGCCTGCTGCAGGAAATCCCCCCACAGGTTGGAAGGAGTCAAAGGGGGGCACCGAGCACCTCTGGCAAACCTCCGTGCGTTCTCGTGGTCCCTCGGCAGCTCTTCCTCCGCCTCAGCCAGTCCCACGAGGGCGGCCGCGGCGAGCACCCCGGCTTGGCGCATGCCCCCACCCAGGGCTTTACGGAGGCGCCACGCTTCTTGGATGAAGTCCTTGGGCCCCCCGACCAGGGCCCCCACTGGTGCACCCAGGCCCTGTGGGAAGAGAGGAGCCTCCTATTGACCCATCGGTAGGCAGGGGCAATGCAGCATCTGGAGTACAGGACCAGCTGCAGGTCAGGAGCTCAGGGAAACTCAGCTCCCTCTGCAAGGCACCCCCACCCCATCTGTCTGGAAGACCAGCCCAGGGGCTTCCCCACCTTGGAGAGACAGAAGGACACAGAGTCACAATGCTCCACAATGCGGGCGGGGGGGACACGCAGAGCCACAGCTGCATTCATCAGTCGAGCTCCGTCCAGGTGGACACGGGCCCCATGGGACTGGGCCAAGAGGTGTACCTGGGTGAAGTGCAGGCAGAGGTTAATGGGACAGGTGATAGGGCAGGTCTCTAGGAGGCCCCTGGGTATGGCTCTTGAAGAATTGAGGGGTCTGGAACCACCTGAGTGGTTCCGCTGTGCTGCCTGAGCCTCGGTGGTGCTTTAACTTGAGTGGTTTTGGTGCCCGGGATGGAACCCAGGGCCGTGGGTGTGCCAGCTTCCTGCAGTACTGGGGACTGAACCCACTCAACTCTTCTTTATGGAGCACTTGCCAAGGGCCAAGGACATAACGTCTCATGTTGGTTAAGCTGCATGACAGCAGCAGGAGGCCCCAAGGAGTGCAGGACATAGAGGTAGGTGGCGTGCCCGCGCAGTCACTTGGGGAGGAGAACTCAGCTGCGGCAGCCTCCTGGCCCCCTTGCTATTGCTAAGGACCAGGGGAAGTTGGAGGCGCACCCAACACCTGCTCACTCCCCAGCCTCACTAGGAGCGTGTTCCCGGGCCAGGGCAGCTGTCCTCAATGCTGCTTTGGAACTTGGCTCTCAGCAGAGTGAGTGTGTGTGCACATATGTTGATACCTACATGTGCACACAAGTGCAGGGACCAGGGCCCCTAAACTGGACAGTAATCCCCTTTGCATCTTTAGCCTAGGGCCGACACATGTTCCCCCATGATAGCCTGCCCACTAACAGGTGTGCACTAACAGGTACCTGTGACATGTCAGATAGGGGTTCAAAAGACACAGGAAGCCAGGAGCAGGCTGGTAGTGGGGGAAGTGGCGGGGCAGAGCCTACCTGGCGGAGGTAGTCGATAGGGAGGACCCGGCCCCCTGAGCTGCTATGTGTGTTCTCTAGGCATACAAGCTCACAGACTGGGTGATACGGGTTCCCAAGGCCCCGAGTGAGCACCCTCTCCAGCTCATCCAGGTCCAGGGTCCCATGGGGCAGGTCTGGGAGCAAGTGAGAGTGCACCCCAGCAATCTGTAGGTGAGGAAAGGGGTGAAGGATCAGGCAGGTCCAGGGGTCCAGCTGTACTCCTGGTGGATGGGAGGGGTCCTCTGGAATAGGGAGCCAGACCCCAATCTGTGCCTGCTCCTTCCCATCTCAGGGTTTCAAGGACTTTCCCTTGCTCTGTGCATCCAGACACAGCATCCCAAGTGAGGAGGGTGTGTAGGCCCCTGGCCCTTTTTCATTTGAGATGTCTCCCTGTTTCCTCTGGCTCCTTCCTGGAGTGCCAGTGTTCCAAGTGCTCACTAGGGGGCAGCAGGGCACCAAGCACCAGGCAGGCAGCCGCTTCTGCCCCTACCTGCAGAGCTGAGACCTGGTTCTCCCTCCCACCTTCCCGCAGCTTCTGTCAGGCTCTCCCCTTTTCTCTGCAGGTTCCAGCCAGGTGCCTGGGAAGCAGCACCTAGGCCACTTGTACTGGCTAGAGGATGTCCGGGCCCCAGGGGAGTGGTGCCTGGTCCTTACCTGAGCCACCCCGCCCTGCTCATAGACGTGGAGATGGCACTCCTGCCCAAGGAGGAGCTGGGAGCCCCGGCGCCGGCAGTGGCCCATCACTGAGACAAACGGAAGGAGGGTAGGACTTGGCTCTGAGTCCTAGGGTGCCCATGTGCTTCATCTGGGCTGAGCCCCAGGGCCACAGCATATGCCAATTAGGAAACAGCACCCCTTTGAGACACCTTACTGCCATGGGCGGGATAAACAGCTTGGGGATGGGACGCTGTGAATGCCGGGCCACACGTCCATGACCCCACCTGCAGAACCTCCCCTGCAGGGAGAAGCTGGCCACTCTGTTGTTCCTTGGAGACTGGCAGCTCAGGGCACTAGCAGCCACCAGGCCCTGTCAACAAACTGAGGGCACATGCACACAGGGAACCGGGAGGGGTGCTTACTAGGTGAGGTAAGTGGAGGGGTACCACAGGACAGCCTAAGGGGTGAGGATGGTGTGGTTACAGGAACTGTGGGGCCAGAGCACCCTGGGATGAGAAACAGGGGAGGAACAGGGGTCAGCCCACCTCAGTCTCTTCTGCTCCCCTCCTCCGCCAGGACACCCCAATGTTGCACCCAGCAAAAATCCAGGAAAGTTGTTCATGAACGTCACAGCCCTGGATACAGAGGGGCAGTGGGTACATGGAGGACCTGGGAGTCAGACTCACCACAGATGAGGTTGGCCATGGTATTGGTGGGCACGAACAGAGTCTGCTCCACCCCCAGCAGCTGGGCAGCCTTTTCCTGCAGCTCTGAGGAGGAAGGGGAGGGTGGGGCAAGGAAAACTGTCAACAGTTACCACCGAGAAGTCAGGCTGGCTGCACAGGCACAGTTCAAAGTACTTTTGTTCAGATGTGAGCCCCTTTGCCCGAGGCCAAGGTGAGTGGCCAAGTGGGCGTGGCTGGAGCTCCAGTCTACCAGCTGCACAGTCTGTGGCCTGGGTAACCACACAGCTGGGTCTGGAGGCTCCTGAGTCAACCCACGGCACCTCACCTCCTCATCAGCCATGGTTCCCCCCACCAGGCCACTGAAACTCTCTTGTGGTTTGAACCCTGTGTTCCACCCCAACCTCACACCTGTCTTGCTTCCTTTCCCATCAGTTCCAGCAGGTGGGGCCCTGTGGTTTCTCTGCTGACTTCCTCTACCCCTAGGCGGGGAGCTCTAGGGAGCTGGAGGGAGAACAAAGGGTTCAGCTGGAGGACAATGTGGGGCTCCTGCTCTAAAGCCCATGCTGGTTCTCTGACTGTGGCATCAGGTCCAAAGCCCTTGGCATGACATTCAAGACCTCTGCCCCATTGCAAAAAAAAAAAA